AAAACAAACAAAAAACAATCTCACAAAGTAAGTTTCTTATTTATTTTTTATTTAGCCACATTATTTTATGTTTATTCTTTCAAACAAGTTAATACATAAAAAATAAAAGTGTTTTCACTGTTTTCATATTAATCATATTTCATTTTAGGTCCAATTGTTGCTATTGTAAATGATTTAAAAACTCTTGTTAATCATTCTCTAAAATGTTTATAATTCTCTAAAAACCATGATAAAACATTTTTAATTTTCATACCATTTACTAAAGCTATTAAATATTTTTAAGATGTTATAACACATGTTACGATGAATACACACTGTTATAATGAGTACTTAATTTATTTTTTAACTTTTAATTATTTTAAATTTACATTAACTCATATAATTATAAATCTTCTTTAAATTATTTAAATAATCAAAAGTTAAACCTACCTACCTCCAATTATAAGTGTCATCGCACATAAAAATTTAAATTGATTTTTTTTCTTAAAAACTTATCGTAGTTTACTATGTTGTAGATTAAAATGTTGCAGATCACAATGTTGTACATTACAATGTTGTAGATTATAATGTTGTAGATTACAACGTTGTAGATGAATATGTTATAGACTACAATGTTGTAGATTACAATGTTGTAGATTAATATGTTGTACATTACAATGTTGTAGATTAATATGTTCTAGATTAGAATGTTGTACATTACAATGTTGTAGATTAATATGTTGTAGATTACAATGTTGTAGATTACAATGTTGTAGATTAATATGTTGTAGATTACAATGTTGTAGATTACAATGTTGTAGATTACAATGTTGTAGATTACAATAATTATTCTACGGATGTAATGCTCAATTTCTTTGTTAATGCAGAAAAATTGTTTTTAGCATTTTAGCAATTTTACTTACTGTTTTAGCATTTTAGCAATTTACTGTTTTAGCAACTTATTGTTTTAGCAACTTACTGTTTTAGCAACTTACTGTTTTAGCATTTTAGCAATTTAATAGATAGAACATATTTAATATACCTAGCTCCCATGATCCACTTTAGGAAATGGATAAAATGAAAAATGCATAAATGTAGAAACTTATAACATGTGAAATGCAGAAAAAAAAAGAGAAAATTTGTCCTAACCCAATTGTTGCCCCAATACCAATCCTCAGTGGATGTAGAAGAACTCCTTCGTATGTACTCTTTAAATCAATTGATGTAAATACTAAAACGCCCACCATTATTGCTAACTGTTAAAAATTTATGCATTACAGAATTTACTAATGCATTCTACTTTATGAATCTTATTTTGTTTTCTGATAATTCTTAAAAGTTTAAATAACATTATATGATATTTAACTTGTAAAACATTTTCTGATATTTTACTTAAATGCACACTTATACATGGTGTTATATTTAATAATTATATAATAAAGAAAAATTGTATTTAACATGAACGTTATGTAACATAAAAGTAAAACAAAGTATACAATAAACTTACTTTATAGAAAAAAACAATAAGTCAGGAAGAATTACTGTCAAAGATGAAGATGTTACAGCAGCTAGTAAAAAATATTTTTATATAATTATCAAAAAATGATGTTAGTAATTAAAAAAGAGTAATAAATTTTAGAGATGCCAAGAATAGTGATTTTGTCAAATACCAAATATTTGGGTTGACTCTCCATTGAATAGCTGAATATATGGTAACACTTACAAAATTTCAAGGGTGACAGTTTCGAACCTGCATAAGTAAAGTGAATATCTTAGTCACACTACAGGTATTTATTTGTATTCATTATATTTGTATGTTTAGGCATGCTATTTGTTGACTGTTTGCTACATCAAACTTTGTTCCTTATAGCTTGTATTTCTTATAACCCAATACGTAAGATATATACATAAAATGTTCAATTATATAGCTTAGAGCATTTAATGGTAAATGGTGTTGCTTGCAGTTTATATATTTATAAAATAAATTGTCACTAGAATTTGTAAATAAATGAATTAAGTTTATTAAATGAGATTCATTTATTTACAAATTCTATAAGTTATTTTTAATTACAGACCTTAATTACTTTCATTAAAAACAATATAAATACATTAACAATTAATTATCCTTTAAAAACTATTTAAATTGAAAAAAAGTCAATTTAGCGTACATAAAAGATTTTGGATTCGATTGTCATTTTTCTTGTGAAAAACTATTAAATAACAAGTAACAAAAGTTGTGTTATTTTAAATTTTTGTTTGCAAAAAGCTTTAAAAATAGCCTCTTTTAATAAAAAATTACCTATTTGGAAATATTATGAAATTTGTAGGGTAAGCAATAAACTAGCAGTTTGTTTGCTGTGTAAAAGCAAGATCTTGTGTGGTGGAGAAGGAAGGAAAGCAAGAAAGTAAAGCTATTACATATATTATAACTAATTAAAAATGTTTTAATAAAGCAAATTATTTATGCTAGTAATTTTTTTATTTCTAATTTTTTTGAACAGTAGGTACTCTATTTACACTAAGTTTAGTTCAAGTACTTTTCTTTGTTTCTGGCTACAGCTTCTCTGAAAATCACCTTCAAAACAAGCATTCTAAGCAGTATGCTAAGTTAACTGAAACTGCCGGCAAGAAGGAGCAAAAGTGAGGATTCACTCTTTTATACCAACTTTAATATACCAGCAGTAGCAGGTATGCCAAAAAAAAACAGTTAACTCTGAAAGAGACAGCTGAAAGGAAATTGTGTTGGGATATTAATGACCTAAAATCAATAAAACATCATTATTCAATAGGAGAAATGATTGTCTAAGACAAAAAACCATTACCACTTGTTAAACGAGTTGGCTTCAACAAGCTACTTCAAAAGACATAACCGCAATACAAAATAACCTGTCGAACCTACATGACTAAGAAAACTACCCCTGATATATTTAATAGAACTTGCACTAGAATTGAAGATAGTATTTCACAAGCAACAGCAGTATCCGTGACATCTGACATGTAAACATGTCAGCACAACAACCAAAGTTTCTTAAGTTTTACTTTGGATATCTTAAGATTTTATTCTTGAACATGCTGTTTTAGCAATGAAACAGATTTCTGTTCAACATTCTGGTACAAATAAGACAAGAGAAATCAATGGGATTGGAGCACTTCACATAATAAGATCTATTTTCTTGTCCATGGCAGTAGAGCCTATATGATAAAAGGTGCACGAGATGCAGAATATGATTCTACCAAGAGTTTTTATTCATTTATTACAACTGGCTGTCAGTTGTAATAAATGAATAAAAACTCTTGGTAGAATCATAGAATGTATTGCTAAATTCTTAAACATAAATAACACATATGCTAGCTGCTGCAAGAGGAATTGTCACCCATATTAACCACTCTACTATAGCACAAAAAAAACTAAAATGCGTTTGTAAAGAACTTAAACTTGCAGTCCACCAATTAATACAAGATGTAAAAACACACTGAAATTTAACATACTATTTATATGAGCAATTATTAGAGCAAAAGCAAGTTGTCTTGCTCATCTCAGAGTTAATGGAACATAAATTAAACTTCTCAAACCGGGCGAAGAAATTACAAAAATAATCAACTCCAATAAATAGTATGTTGAATTTCAAAAATGTAAATTAAAATGATAAAACAATTGAGATATATAACACAATTGTCTCTGGAATTGTTTTGAGGAAGTTGTTACAGAAAACATGCACACAAATGAAAATATTGAACAAAAAAGTTCATCAGCAAACGAAATTGAGTTGTTCATGAAAACTGTTCATATAAATCAAAAAGCAGACCCTTAACAAGAGTGATCAGCTGATGCAAAACAATATCAAAACCTAGCAGAACTTTCTAAGATTTACTTATCATTTCCAGGTAGTAGTGCATATATGCGGTAGTGGTGTAGTGGTAGAGCGCTCGCTTCACAAACGAGTAGTTCCGAGTTCGATCCCACCACGCCCCTGGTAGTACAGCCCCCAACTCATTTCTCTACGCAGCAGCCTTGTTCGTCAAGGTTCGTGTTTTGGAGTTATAGAGTTGAGAGAGGGTTATAGCCACAAATAAGTAGCCTCCTTGTCTGTAGTGGCCTTCACAGCCTTGAGGAGGTGAATTTAAAAATATATATATATATAGTGAGCAGCTATATTCAGAAGCAAGTAAAATTTACAACAAAAGCGGAATCATTTGCTGTCAACAAATGCTGAAAAAGTGTTTTCATTATTTACCAATGATAAATTTAAATTATTAAATTTGCTTTAATATTCTATTATTTGTATCATATTCAAATTTCAGTATTTTGTAATCAACCAAAGAGTTTGGGATATATATCCAAAAAACGATAAGTTTAAAATGTTGCTAAATACACTGAATATCAAATTATTGCTAAATATTCCTGGCATCTCTAATTAATATGTTCTTAATATATAGATAAAATTGTGAAAGGAGAAATAAAAACATATAAAAATACTTAGAGTCAAACTTGTGTTTTCAATTCCTTCATAAAATGTAGTTGGCAAACGAGTTGCTGTTGTTGTTAATGGAGGTAGAATTGTTGTTGTTGTTGTTGACTCAGTTGTTGAAGTTGGAGACTGAGTTGTTGTAGTTGGCAACTCAGTTGCTGTTGTTGTTGTTGTAGTAGGAGACTGAGTTTTTGTAGTTGGAGACTGAGTTATTGTTGTTTGAGCTTGAGTTGATATTGTTGTAGACTGAGTTGTTGTAGTTGGAGACTGAGTTGTTGTAGTTAGAGCTTGAGTTGTTGTTGTTGACTCAGTTGTTGTAGATGGAGACAGAGTTGTTGTTGTTATTGGTAGTAATTGAGTTGATGTAGTTGCCAACTGAGTTGTTGTAGTTGGAGATTGAGTTGCTGATGTTGTTGTTGACTCAGTTGTTGTTGATGGAGACTGAGTTGTTGTAGTTAACGGCCGAGTTGTTGTAGTTGGAGGTTGAGTTGTTAGTGTTGTTGACTGAGTTGTTGTTGATGAAGACTGAGTTGTTGTTGTTGGAGGTTGATTTGTTGTAGTTGGAGACTGAGTTGTTGTAGTTGGCAACTCAGCTATTGTTGTTGTTGTTAGAGGTGGAGTTGTTGTTGTTGTAGACTTAGTTGTAGTAGAAGACTGAGTTGATATAGTTGGAGACTGAGTTGTTGTTGTTTGAGGTTGAGTTGTTATTTTTAAAGACTGAGTTGTTGTAGTTGAAGACTGAGTTGTTGTGGTTGTAGGTTGAGTTGTTGTTGTTAATAACTGAGTTGTTGTTGATGGAGACTGAGTTGTTGTATTTGGAGACTGAGTTGTTGTTGTTATTGGTAGTAATTGATTTGATGTAGTTGGAGACTGAGTTGATATTGTTGGAGGTTGAATTGTTGTTGTTGTAGACTGAGTTGTTGTTGTTGGAGACTGAGTTGTTGTTGCTGTAGACTGAGTTGTTGTAGTTGGAGACTGAGTTGTTGTCGTTGGAGATTGAGTTGTTGTTAACTGAGTTGTTGTTGATGAAGACTGAGCTGTTGATGAAGACTGAGTTGTTATTGTTGTTGTTGTTGGAGGTTGAGTTGTTGTAGTTGTAGACTGAATTGTTGTAGTTGGCAACTCAGTTGTTGTTGTTGTTGTTGGAGGTGGAGTTGTTATTGTTTTTGACTGAGTTGTTGTTGTTAGAGATTGAGTTGTTGTTGTTGTTGTTGTTGTTGTTAAAGGTGGAGATGTTGTTGTTGTTGTTGACTGAGTTGTTGTTGATGGAGACTGAGTAGTTGTAGTTGGATATTGAGTTATTGTTGTAGTTGGAGGTTGAGTTGTTGTTGTTTGCAACTCAGTTGTTGTTGTTGTGTTTGTTGGAGGTGGAGTAGTTGTTGTTGTAGACTGAGTTGTAGTAGGAGACTGAGTTGTTGTTGTTGTTGACTGAGTTGTTGTCGTTTGAGGGTGAGTTGATGTTGTTGTTAAAGACTGAGGTGTTGTACTTGGAGACTGAGATGTTGTAGTGGGAGACTGAGTTGTTGTTGCTATTATTGTAGGTGGAGTTATTGTTGTTGTTGTTGACTGAGTTGTTGTAGTTTGCAACTCAGTTGTTATTGTTGTTGGAGGTTGAGTTGTTATTGTTGTTGTTGACTGAGTTGTTGCTAAGGGAGACTGAGTTGTTGTAGTTGGAGATTGAGTTGTTGTTGTTGTTGTTGAAGGTTCAGTTGTTGTAGTTGGAGCCTGAGTTGTTGTAGTTAGAGACTGAGTTGTTGTTGTTGGAGACTGAGTATAAGCTGTTCTTGTTGTTGGAAGTTGAGTTGTTGTTGTTGTTAACTGTGTTGTTGTTGTTTGCAACTCAGTTGTTGTTGTTGGAGGTGGAGTTGTTGTTGTTGTAGCCTGAGTTGTAGTAGGAGACGGAGTTGTTGTTGTTGTTGACTGAGTTGTTGTCGTTTGAGGGTGAGTTGTTGTTGTTGTTGCAGACTGAGGTGTTGTACTTGGAGACTGAGATGTTGTAGTAGGAGACTGAGTTGTTGTTGTTATTGTTGGAGGTTGAGTTGTTATTGTTGTTGTTGACTGAGTTGTTGTAGTTGGAGACTGAGTTGTTGTAGTTTGCAACTCAGTTGTTGTTGTTGTTGGAGGTTGAGTTGTTATTGTTGTTGTTGACTGAGTTGTTGTTAAGGGAGACTGAGTTGTTGTAGTTGGAGATTGAGTTGTTGTTGTTGTTGTTGATGGTTCAGTTGTTGTAGTTGGAGCCTGAGTTGTTGTAGTTAGAGACTGAGTTGTTGTTGTTGGAGACTGAGTAGAAGCTGTTGTTGTTGTTGGAAGTTGAGTTGTTGTTGTTGTTAACTGTGTTGTTGTTGTTTGCAACTCAGTTGTTGTTGTTGGAGGTGGAGTTGTTGTTGTTGTAGCCTGAGTTGTAGTAGGAGACGGAGTTGTTGTTGTTGTTGACTGAGTTGTTGTCGTTTGAGGGTGAGTTGTTGTTGTTGTTGCAGACTGAGGTGTTGTACTTGGAGACTGAGATGTTGTAGTGGGAGACTGAGTTGTTGTTGTTATTGTTGGAGGTTGAGTTGTTATTGTTGTTGTTGACTGAGTTGTTGTAGTTGGAGACTGAGTTGTTGTAGTTTGCAACTCAGTTGTTGTTGTTGTTGGAGGTTGAGTTGTTATTGTTGTTGTTGACTGAGTTGTTGTTAAGGGAGAGTGAGTTGTTGTAGTTTGCAACTCAGTTGTTGTCATTGTTGTTGGAGGTGGAGTTGTTGTTGTTGTAGACTGAGTTGTAGTTGGTGACTGAGTTGTTGTTGTTAGAGACTGAGTTGTTGTTGTTTGAGGGTAAGTTGGTATTGTTGTTGTAGACTGAGGTGTTGTACTTGGAGACTGAGTGGTTGTAGTGGGAGACTGAGTTGTTGTTGCTGTTGTTGTTAGAGGTGGTGTCGTTGTTGTTGTTGACTGAGTTGTTGTCGCTGAAGATAGAGTTGATGTTGTTGGAGGTTGAGTTGTTGTAGTTAGAGACTGAGTTGTTGTATTTGGAGGTTGAATTGTTGTTGTTGTTGACTGAGTTGTTGTTGTTGCAGACTGAGTTGTTGTTGATGGAGACTGAGTTGTTGTAGTTGGAGACTGAGTTGTTGATGTTGTTGTTGTTGTTGGAGATTCAGTTGTAGACTGAGTTGTTGTAGTTGGACATTGAGTTGTTGTAGTTGGCAACTCAGTTGTTGTGGTTGTTGTTGGAAGTTGAGTAGTTGTTGTTGACTGAGTTATTGTTAAAGGAGACTGAGTTGTTGAAGTTGGAGATTGAGTTGTTGTTGTTGTTGTTGGAGATTTAGTTGTTGTAGTTAGAGTTTGAGTTGTTGTTGTTGGAGACTGAGTTGTTGCTGTTGTTGTTGTTGGAGGTTGAGTTGTTGTTGTTGTTAACTGAGTAGTTGTTGTTGGAGACTGAGTTGTTGTTGTTGTTGTTGGAGGTTGAGTTGTTGTTGTTGTTAACTGAGTTGTTGTAGTTTGCAACTCAGTTGTTGTTGTTGTTGTTGGAGGTGGAGTTGTTGTTGTTGTAAACTGAGTTGTAGAAAGAGACTGAGTTGTTGTTGTTGTTGACTGAGATGTTGTCATTGGAGGTGGAGTTGTTGTTGTTATGGTTAATTGAGTTGTTGTAGTTGGAGACTGAGTTGTTGCAGTTGGCAACTCAGTTGTTGTTGTTGTTGTTAGAGGTTGAGTTGTTGTTGTTGGCTGAGTTGTTGTTAATGAAGACTGATTGGGTGTAGTTGGAGATTGAGTTGTTGTTGTTGTTGTTGGAAGTTGAGTCGTTGTATTTGGAGACTGATTTGTTGTAGTTAGAGACTGAGCTGTTGTTGTTAGAGACTGAGTTGTTGTTGTTGTTGGAGGTTGAGTTGTTGTTGTTGTTAACTGAGTCGATGTTGTTGGAAACTGAGTTGTTGTTGTTGTTTTTTGAGGTTGAGTTGTTGTTGTTGCTAACTGAGTAGTCGTAGTTTGCAACTCAGTTGTTGTTGTTGTTGTTGGAAGTGGAGTTGTTGTTGTTGTAGACTGAGCTGTTGTTGTTGGAGACTGAGTTGTTGTTGTTGGAGACTGAGTTGATGTTACTGTTGTAGACTCAGGTGTTGTACTTGGAGACTGAGTGGTTGTAGTGGGAGACTGAGTTGTTGTTGTTGTTGTTAGAGGTGGTGTTGTTGTTGTTGTTGTTGTTGACTGAATTGTTGTTGATGGAGACTGAGTTGTTGTAGTTGAAGATAGATTTGTTGTTGTTGTTGTTGGAGGTTGAGTTGTTGTAGTTAGAGACTGAGTTGTTGTATTTGGAGGTTGAGTTGTTGTTGTTGTTGACTGTGTTGTTGTTGTTGGAGACTGAGTTGATGTAGTTGGATACTGAGTTGTTGTAGTTGGATACTGAGTTGTTGTTGTTGTTGTTGTTGTTAAAGGTTCAGTTGTTGTAGTTGGATATTGAGTTGTTGTAGTTGGAGACTTAGTTGTTGTAGTTAGAGGTTGAGTTGTTTTTGTTGTTGACAGAGTTGTTGTTGATGGAGAATGAGTTGTTGTAGTTGGAGATTGAGTTGTTGTTGTTGTTGGAGGTTGAGTTGTTGTAGTTATAGACTGAGTTGTTGTAGTTGGAGACTGAGTTGTTGTAGTTGGAGGTTGAGTTGTTGCTGTTGTTGACTGAGATGTTGTTGATGGAGACTGAGTTGTTGTAGTAGGAGATTGAGTTGTTCTTGTTGTTGTTGGAGGTTGAGTTGTTGTAGATAGAGACTGAATTGTTGTATTTGGAGGTTGAGTTGTTGTTGACTGAGTTGTTGTAGTTGGAGACTGAGTTGTTGTAGTTGGAGGTTGAGTTGTTGAGTGAGTTGTTGTTGATGGAGATTGAGTTGTTGTAGTTGGAGATTGAGTTGTTGTTATTGTTGTTGGAGGTTGAGTCGTTGTAGTTGGAGACTGAGTTGTTGTATTTGGAGGTTGAGTTGTTGTTATTGTTGACTGAGTTGTTGTTGTTGGAGACTGAGTTTTTGTAGTTGGAGATTGAGTTGTTATTGTTGTTGTTAGAGGTTGAAATGTTGGAGTTGGAGACTGAATTGTTGTAGTTGAAGACTGAGTTGTTGTAGTTGAAGGTTGAGTTGTTGTTGTTGTTGACTGAGTTGTTGTTGATGGAGACTGAGTTGTTGTATTTGGAGGTTGAGTTCTTGTTGTTGTTGACTGATTTGTTGTTGTTGGAGACTGAGTTGTTGTAGTTGGGTATCGAGTTGTTGTAGTTGGAGATTGAGTTGTTGTTGTTGTTGTTGGAGGTTGAGTTATTGTAGTTGGAGACTGAGTTGTTGTTGTTGGAGGTTGAGTTGTTGTTGTTGTTGGAGACTGAGTTGTTGTAGTCGGAGATTGAGTTGTTATTGTTGTTGTTGGAGGTTGAGTTGTTGGAGTTGGAGACTGAGTTGTTGTAGTTGGAGACTGAGTTGTTGTTGTTGAAGGTTGAGTTGTTGTTGTTGTTGACTGAATTGTTGTTGATGGAGACTGAGTTGTTGTAGTAGGAGATTGAGTTGTTGTTGTTGTTGTTGGAGGTTGAGTTGTTGTAGTTGGAGACTGAGTTGTTGTATTTGGCGGTTGAGTTGTTGTTGTTGTTTGAGTTGTTTTTGTTGGAGACTGAGTTGTTGTAGTTGGAGATTTAGTTGTTGTAGTTGGAGACTGAGTTGTTGTAGTTAAAGGTTGAGTTGTTGTTGTTGTTGACTGAGTTGTTGTTGATGGAGACTGAGTTGTTGTAGTTGAAGATTGAGTTGTTGCTGTTGTTGTTGGAGGTTGAGTTGTTGTAGTTGGAGACTGAGTTGTTGTATTTGGAGTTTGAGTTGTTGTTGTTTTTGACTGAGTTGTTGTTGTTGTTGGAGACTGAGTTGTTGTAGTTGGAGATGGAGTTGTTGTAGTTAAAGGTTGAGTTGTTGTTGTTGTTGACTGAGTTGTTGTTGATGGAGACTGAGTTGTTGTAGTTGAAGATTGAGTTGTTGCTGTTGTTGTTAGAGGTTGAGTTGTTGTAGTTGGAGACTGAGTTGTTGTATTTGGAGTTTGAGTTGTTGCTGTTTTTGACTGAGTTGTTGTTGTTGTTGGAGACTGAGTTGTTGTAGTTGGAGATCGAGTTGTTATTGTTGTTGTTGGAGGTTGAGTTGTTGGAGTTGGAGACTGATTTGTTGTAGTTGGAGACTGAGTAGTTTTAGATGGAGGTTGAGTTGTTGTAGTTGGTGACTCAGTTGTTATTATTGTTGTTGTTGTTGTTGGAGGTAGAGTTGCGATGGTTTTTAACTGAGTTGTTGTAGTTGGAGACTGAGTTAATGTAGTTGGAGATTGAGTTGATGTTGTTGTAGACTGAGTTGTTGTTGTTGTTGTTATTGGAGGTTGAGTGGTTGTTGTTGTTAACTGAGTTGTTGTAGTTGGTGACTCAGTTGTTGTTGTTGTTGTTGGAGGTGGAGTTGTTGTTGTTGTAGATTGAGTTGTAGTAGGAGACAGAGTTGTTGTAGTTGGAGACTTAGTTGTTGTTGTTTGAGGTTGAGTTGTTGTTGTTGTAGACTGAGTTGTTGTCCTTGTAGACTGAGTTGTTGTTGTTGGAGACTGAGTTTTTGTTGTTGGTGGTGGTGGTTGAGTTGATGTGGTTGGAGACGTAGTTGTTATTGTTAGAGGTGGAGTTGTTCTTGTTGACTGAGTTGTTGTTGTTGGAGACTGAGTTGCTGTAGTTGGAGACTGAGTTGTTGTTGTTGTAAACTGAGTTGTTGTAGTTGGAGACTGAGATGTTGCAGTTGGAGACTGAGTTGTTATAGGTGGTAATTTAGTTGTTGTTGTTGTTGTTAGAGGTTGAGTTGCTGTTGTTGACCGAGTTGTTGTTGTCTGAAACTGAGTGGTTGTAGTTGGAGACTGAGTTGTTGTAGTTGTTGTTGGAGGTTGAGTTAGTGTTGTTGACTGAGTTGTGGTTGTTGGAGACTGAGTTGTTGTTGTTGTAGACTGAGTTGTTGTAGTTAGAGGCTGTGTTGCTGTTTCTACTGGAGGTTGAGCTGTTGTAGATTTTATTAGCAGTTTTGTTGTAGAAGCTAAAAATTTGAATCAGTCAAAAAATGCAATTTCAAGTTAAGTTTTTCTATATAAAATTTTTTATTATAAAATTAATAATAAAATCATTTGAAAACTAAAAATACAATAACAAATTATAGTTATTGTTTTAGAAAATATAGAAGATATAAATTATTTTTTTTTCATTTATGTAGAATTATCTTAATTATATAATAAACTGCAAAATATGATTTTTATTTATAAAATTGCTACATAACATCGGATTCTGCCAATTTAATTTAGAATAAGATTATTATACAAATGTAGTGCTCTATGGAAAAAACCAATCAAGAAAGCCTTGATAATTTTAATGTCATTATATGAATTTGGTTTAACTTGAACATTAGTAATTGCATTTTTGCTATATATTTAAAAACTATATGTACCTGTTTTATTGTTAGAAAGTAAAGTATCATGAGAGTTAGATGTATTGGTATGTTTAAAGTTGGAAAGCTCCATTTTGTATTGAATACTTTTATGTTTCCTATTAAGTAGATCTAAAAACTTTTACGCACCTTCTTCTACCAGAAACTTGGAATGTTTATCATTAATATATTTTTTATATGATTTGATATGGATTTTATTGTTAAGCCATTGAGAGATCATTACTTTAACAATATATATAAGCATATTGATTGCTCCTTAAAACACTTGGCAATCATCACCATTAAAATTAAGCTTATTTTTGGAGTTTTTGTGCTCATAAATACCATTTTTGTATTAAAAAATAGCAATCAGAAATACATAGTTCTAAAAGTAGCCTGATCTCTTCAAAAGCCAATTTATAAATAAAGCTCATGGTGTTTCTTAATCTTTTAACTAATATTACAATTACTTCTATATTTGGTACCAAAAGGACTTGGGTAGATATATATTTTTTTGGTAAAATGCCCTAGTTCATGAAGTTGGTGAAGAACTTTATTAGTTGGTTCTCGATTAAATTTTGTAAGAATATTTTTAAAAAATTGTTAATATAACAAAAATAAATATATGTTTACCAAATAGAGTTAAACCCATAGAAATAAGTTTTATTTTAAAATATTTATATAATATATATAACTTAACTCTTTTGAAGATATTATTATTAAATATATATATATATATATATATATATATATATATATATATATATATATATATATACACATATATATATATATATATATATATATATATATATATATATATATATATATATATATATATATATATATATATATATATATATATATATATATATATATATATATACATATATATATATATACATATATATATATATATATATATATATATATATATATATATATATATATATATATATATATATATATATATATATGTATATATATTTACATATATATATATATATATATATATATATATATATATATATATATATATATATATATATATATATATATATATATACATATATATATATATATATATATACATATATATATATATATATATATATATATATATATATATATATATATATATATATATATATATATATATATATATATATATATATATATATATATATATATATATTATAGGGAAGGCCAAAATCTAAAATTTTTAAAATTACACGTGACTGCAAAAAAAGTTTTACCATATACAAATTATTATTTAAAAAAAAGAAGTTTTCTATGATGTTTCTAAGTACTTCCACATTTTATTTAAAGAATCGCATTTTGAGTTTGAGCCATTTACCTTTATCATTTAAGTTATGAAATAACAACCAAGATCTTTTCCCAATATATGGCAATATCTCTAAGTTCTTGTGATTAGATAAAAGATAAGGTTTTCCAGAGTTGATAGCAAGTGGCTTTCCTACATCTATCAACTTTAAAGCAATCTTAGCCTTTTCTTTAGCAGAAACTTTATTTGAAAAGAAACTGAAGACTGAGACCTGCTCAGTTAGATAGCATGAGTGCCTGTTAAGAACTTCTTGAGCTTTCTGAGCTGCACTAGAGAAGCCTGAGATCTGCCCTAGAGAGCCTAGATCATTGTATATATTAATATCGTTAATTGGTGCATCAGAGCCTTTTGTTGCTTCTAGCCAAGCTTTAACATATAAAAATGAGCTGTAAATCAAAAAGATTTTTAACTTTGCTATATCAGAATTAAGTAAATGTTCTTTAAAGATGAACATCTTTGGTGCATACAACAAGTGTGACATCCATCTGGCATGATGATTTGCCACAGGTTTTCCATACTGTAGGTTCTGGTCCGCCTAAAAGATAAAGTGCTAACTCTACAGCTTCCTTGTAATCACCTCTGCGATGCTTACATTTTACTTGTTTCTCTAAGAACACACAAGTTTCGTCTGCTTTCATTTAAGAAAAGAATTTTCAAGATATATAAACCTGCATAGTTTTTTTAGTGGAGCTTTTTCTGCATAAATCCATTATTGTTGAAAATCTTTGAAATCTATATTATAATTATCTTTTTTTTCTTTTTTAAATAAGGAGCTCTAAAATGCTCTCAAGATCAATTCTAAAATGTGATAGCCACAAGCCAGTCAAAGAATAGTTTTCATTGATTTACAATCCTGTATTACATGCATTCTTATGAAAAACCTGGGCGATAATGTTGGCTTTGAGATCCCATTCCTCCAAGTTTTCCAAAATTCCTTTGCAAATAGCAAGTCCTGTACCAAACTGTATAGGTTTTATTGATAATATTTTTCCTTCAACACAATTAGGAAAGCCACTGACCAAAACAGTTAAATACTCAAACTTTTTCGTGATCTTCTTATAGTATTTATTAAAAGGCTAACATCGTCAGGTTTAACACCACCTGTATAAAATTAAAAAATATATTTTTTTTTTAGATTGTATACAATAATCTTGTTTATTTATTAATAAAAAACGAACCTAAAACTAGAATTGCAGAAGTATTCATCATCAGCTGAGGATTTGATAGCTTAGTTCTATCTGCAGTTGCTGTTATTATTGGGTGAGAAATGATGTTTTTTGGCAGAACCAGTGTGATACTATCTGATCCGGTCTCTATTTTTTCTCCTTGCTGCCTTTTAGAAATAATAAACTCAGGATTACTTTTAGGAGAGTTTTGATATGCAGAACTCATAGAACGACTAGATTTAGTGACATAAGAATCTTCAGCTGAGTCACTACTATAACCAACCAACTGAACAGTTTCTTCATCATCTATTTTTCTTTTTTTTTTCATTTTCAGTTGCCGCCTGTTTCTTTTTGATTCTTTCTTTTTTTCTCCTAACACTAGAATGTAGCACATTATCTTTTACACCAATTCCTCCAGTTTTTATTCCATTTTGAAGAGATGTAAACCAGGCAATATCTTCATCTGCATCCTTAGCTGATCTGGTTTTTCTAATGTCATCTTTCCAACTAGGAGAACTAATATCAAAAATGCCACCTAATGATTGAATAAAGTTTTGTTCAAGTAAACTATTTTTATTAGAAATTCTATTTTTAGATTTTGCAGGCAACCTCCATTTGTCATGTAGCCTTAAAATATTTTCAATACTGTACTTGTCTTGTTTATAAGGAATACCAGCCTTATCCCAAAAGAGCATGACTGATTTAATAGTAAGCAATGCAGCTAACCTAGATTTCAAAATGTTGCTTTGAGTGTGCAATGTCTCCTTAACTTTAATAAACTCTTCATAAGAGCTATCAATAACTTGCAAGTGATACCTTGAAATGAAAAATGAAAATAATTTAAACCTTTAAAAAAACTTTCAAAAACATAAAATTATAATTCAGTCTTAATATAGTATTAAGCCTAACCTGAAAAATTTATAAATATTTCTGGTAGTAGGCAAAGAGCTTGTTATAAAATCTTCCAAAGGATATCGAACCAACCATATTTTGTTTGTTGGCTTAAATACTTTCAAGTATTTCTTTTTAACCAATTTTTTTAATTTTGTTGGTTCAATGTCATTTTTCTTTGGTTTAATTAGTGACACTTTCTTTATCAAATATTTACTTTGAATTACATATAAACTGGAATTGAAAACAAGATAAGCATATAGTATTAACCACTTAATTACTTTGTATTGTTAATAACATAAACATAAGATAATTGACAGCGGCATGCTAGATTTTAATAAATTTGCTATATTACGATCAGACAATAACCTGGCTGATAATAATAAATAGTCAGTACGTTGGTGTTGAATCTGTTACTATATGCTTATTGAAAAAGCATTATGTAAACATATAGACCTACAATTTGTAAAAAAATAAACATAAGATAAACATACTGAGTTTAATTCTAAATTACTCATATCTTTGAACACAATTCAACGGATACCGCAACTTTTACAGGTGCCTATTTATTGTATGAAAAGCACTAAATAAATTTATTGTGTAAAATAAAAAACTATAAATATCGGAACAAAAGATTTTTGTTTTGTTCTGTTTTACAAGAAAAGGATTAAAATATAAATATCTTATTAGAAAGATACTTAGGCTGTTAAATTGAAAAAAAAGTATTATTTGCTAAACTCTTAGTACTTTTTGCATAAGCATATCAAGTCTGATTTAAATATTTCACATTATAAAAATAGCACATATTCAGTTTGTTTACAAAAAAAAACGCTATTATTGGTAGGTATTTAACCGAATAATTTAAATAACAGAACAGATGTAATGGAGGATTTGTGTTTTTTTTTTTAGATTTCAAATTCACATTAAAAATTAGAGATGTGCTACATAAACACTTTTATAACAAAAAATGATTTTTATAGTAAAAGGAACAATATTTTATGCAGCCACTAGTAAAGTTAATTTTTTGAAAAATTTATGTGGGACTGTGACCCATATAGATTTTTTTAAAAATTAGTAATATATACATAATATATGTGAAAAAAAAGGTGCAACTTGTTGACTCGTCACCAGCCTCTTCAGACTCAAAGTCATCTGAACATGGCTCAATAATAAACAATAATCTTTTATAAATGTTTGTAATTAATTGATTTATCACCCCAAATAGTCCACTAATAGTCCACTTTAAAAACAAAAAAAAACTAGTTTTCCAATGATGATAAGTTTAGTGTGTTAAACAGTTTACGGTATACTTAATATTACTAAGTTAGTTTTAATTTGTTATTGATGAAGAACTATATTCATAAAAAGTTTATTTGTCTCAAACTTTCATTGTTGACTTCTATAATTAACAATTAATTCTATAATTAACGATTATAATTAACAATTGTTAGTTTATATATATTTGTCAGATCTCACAATATCTCAATTTTAAAATTCAAAAACCCTGCAAAACTTATCAGATTTCCTTGACATACCTTAGACTAATTTAGCCCTGGGTGTTTCAACTTTTATTTTAGTGTTGATTGTATTAATTTGATCAGCAAAAACTCAGTCACATACATGGAATTACCTAATTGATGTGATATTCTAATTTATAGGTATCAATTTTATATTTTTATTTATTATTTACTTTTACTTTTTTTTACTTATATGCCTTCTCTTAAAAACCAACTCACTCAATCGCATTCCTCTACCTTAATAATCTTCTTTACATACTGGTTACTATGGTTACTGGTTACTACTTAGTATGACTTTGTTTTCTGATGATACAACCACAAATTTAAGTATTGAAAAAAGTTATCGGATTTTGATTGCTTGAAGTGTTAGCTAATTTTGATAGTGATACCTCCTTTGGGATAAATTGGTACTCGCAGTGATTAGTCAATCACTCCTTTGGGATAAATTGGTACTCGCAGTGATTGGTCAATTTAAAAAAAAAAAATTCTGTTAATCATAATCAGAAAAATGTTGACATATTGAAACTTTCACTTTACTTTTATTTTCTTAAATTTACCTACCCAAGGCTAATATTGGCCACTACAGTCAAGATATCAATTTTAATAATTATAACAGTCAAGCAATTTTTTTTTACATTTATTTGCAACTCTCTATCAGTCTTTAATTCCAAGACAAAGCAACTGAGCAGAGAAACAGGTTGAGAGCCAGATTTTCAAAGGTGTAGGGTAGGGATAGATTAGGGCACGGTAGGGTAGACCCTTGACACTTTTATTGTGAGCAAAGTGTTATACCACTGGTTTACTACTGCATACACTCTACTCTATTTGAAATTTACTTCCAGCTCACAAAAAAGCGCTGGCCAGACAGTAATTATTTGTCTGATGTGCACGATTTTAAAAAATTTTATTTTTTTGTACCTCTTTAATTAGAATTTAATTTAAAAAAAAGATTTGTTGCAATTAAAAACAAATTTGAAACTTTTTGGCGAGCACTTAAAAAAGCACCAGCCGTAGTATTACCAGGAGTGTGGGCGAGCACAAAACTGCAATAGTGCGAAAGCGCTCATCAAACAAAGAAGACTGCATACAAACCACAGTATTTGCCATTTTTGCCAAAACCTAATTCTATTCTAAACCTTTATAAATTTCTTATGGAAAACTGTTGTCATATTTGAGTTGTGCAATGATGCCCTCTTCCTGTTTTTCTAGTAATTAAACATGCTCTGTAAGAGAAGATGAGCTATTCTTACATTTTTAAGTTGTGCCTGTTACTAAAAATCTAAAAAATGAGCATGTGTTACATCTTAAAATTGTGTCTCTATTTATAACAAATATTATCATTCCATAAAATCACATCACATAGTTTATAAATTCATGTATAAAGTCACATCAGATCATTTATAAATTCATGTTTAGTGCTTTTTAAGATTTTTGTTTAGATATTTCTTACTCTTAAACTATTTTATTTATTTACTACTAACTTCAAACTTGAATAATGGCTGCCAACAGTCTTGTTGGTAGCAAATTTAAAATTCACTAATAGTTGCCAAAGATTTACATTTAGTTTACATATTCATGAGTATACTTTTTAATTATATATATATTTTAATATATTTTAAATGTCAGAATATAAAATATATTTAATATTATTATATTTTGTTATTATTATTATTAAAACTATAAAAATTATTAGGTAGTGTTTAAATTAATTTGGTTATATAATTGTTTTGAACTAAGTAAAAAAAAAGTAACAAAGAACTTTAATAGTTTTAAAATAAATTTTAAATTTAAACTCTAAAATAAATCTATTTTAGAAGCCAGATTTAATAAAAAATTAAACACTCAAAAACCAAAACACTGAACAGTGTTTTGGTCATTTTTAACAAAATATTATGTTAAAAATGATGTGGTTTAATTAAATACTAATGGTATTTAAGAACATTAAATACAATGTGAACATGTTGAAAACACTATAACCTCTTGAGACAAAAAACAGGTGTCGAAATAAAAATAACTTAGTAACCTTTTGAGAATAAAAATAACTTAAAAGTTTTTAATCTATCCATTGACAAATAAGTTGACAAATAAATAAAAAACATTTTAAACAACTTAAAACTTATTGTTTATCTTTTTCTTATTGAGGACAAATAATATAAAAAATAATACTAAAATTTAGTTAAAATAAAAGTTAATTAATTTTTTATTTTTTATATTTCAGCACATATGAAATCTCATAATACATTTTAAAAAAAATAACAATAGTATAGTGATTGTCTGATGATATGGGATTCTCTCTAAATCCCAGAGTAAATAAAAGTTATTGCTATTAAATTAAAAGTAATTATGACTTTTAACAACTTTGTATTTAATGTATGCAATGATGTATGCAGCCGAGGCACAGTGGTTCAAGATTTAGGTCAGCACCAAAATGTTTCTAGTTTGATGCAGGCTTTAGCGGGATAAGCAAAATTAGTGAGGAAGGAATTGTTAACTAGTTAAATCTTATTATGTAGCGCTCTGTAATAAGACCATTTAAACTTCTTGGAGCACCATATAAACCACACACACACAAATCTGTACTCTATACATGATCTTGTATAAAATGGTAATAACATTCTAATGACTTCTTTAAAATTTCGTAAAATTCTTCAGATAAAATGTTATTTAAACAATTTAAAATAAATTTATATTTTAAGAAACGACGCAAAATTTAAACATTGTACACACAAAAAAATATATATTACATATTATAGATTATAAATATATTCTATATATTATAAATATATTATATATTATAAATATAAATTATATATTATAAATATATATTATGTATTATAAATATATATTATATATTATAAATATATATTATATATTATAATTAAATATTAAATAAAATTTAAATTTTAAGAATTAAGACACAAAATTTAAAAATTGCACACATAAAAAAATAAAAACCTTCAGAAGTTAAAACATTAGTTATTGCATTTGTAGATTGTTTATACTCACTTGTAACTGCTGTTGTAGTTTCAGTTGTATTAGTTAAACATGATTGAAATACTTGTAAACAATATTCATTGCCAGAAAGATATTTACAAAATCTCAGTAAACATGAGCAGTAAACTTTTTCTATAGAAATAAATATTAAAGACAGGTGTTGAAAACTTTATCATTTTTAAAATTACATAAAAATACTGTTGTATATATTATTAAATTACATCAAATATTTAATTTAGTCCACTAAAAAGCTCCATACATAAATAAATTTAATAATTTATAACAGAAAAAATCTCAACAGATAGAATTCTTTTAAAAAAAATAATAAGCAGGTAACTACATAGTACAATTTATGCACAGTGTGTTGTCTGAAAAATGGAAAATTCGGATAGATCAATTATACAACCATAATTTTCTTAAATGACTTAGCATACTCAAATATTTGAATATGATAATGAATGCAGACGATACAATAATTTCATTCAACAAGGGATAGGGCATGTAATAAAAAGTAGGCTATCAAAAGACTTGAAAAACATTTCTCATTATTTTAAAACTGTACCGGTGCTAGTTTTGCTGGTGTACAAAACACAATGGTGTTTGATACACCAGAAAAACTAAATTATCATATACTGAAGTTGCAATATGAAAGTGTGCATATAAACTTTGTGTGCATTTATAAATATCTAAGCAATATCATAGACAATACTCTCACATTAGATGTAAAAAAATTGCCTTGAAAAATTGAAAAAAAGGAAGAAAAAATATTGCATAAAATTTTCCTCTACCAAATATAGAACACCTAGTCAAGAAAGAAGCTTGTATACTTGTTAAAAAATGTCTAGATGGCAATGCATGCAATAATTTACAGAATTATTCTTTTTTATTTACTCATTTTTAATATTTTTTCACCAGACAAACATTGACAAGAGATGAATTTGTTTTATCTTCAGTTTTATAATCCACTACAAATATTTTAAATAAATAAAATAATATTTAATCTAAATAGCTATTATAATGGATAGTAAAAAGGTTTGCCAAAGTTTGTATAACAACATTATGGGAAAGAATATTTTATTACTCTATAAGTATAAAAAGTTGTGATGTAATTTACAACTATAAGTTATTTCTCAGCGTTAATGTTTACATTTCTGTAATTAGGTTCTTCAGTCAAAGGCTCAACATGTCAGTTAACTCTATCAATTTTATTTTAAGATTTAAATTAATGAATATAATCAAAACGCATTCTACTAGTGATCTTCACAGTAGAATTATTTTGACACTTTTGAAGTTCATTGTTGAATACGAACTGATACGTCTTGAGATGCAAGACACTACTCTGTTGCACCTCACTAGTTACACTTACCCAGCTGAGCTTGTACTTACGAAGAAACTCTCTGCTTGATATATATTTACATTTGATATGACCCTCAAAAGTATTAATTACTTATATTGACTACTTATCAGGAACCATGTGCTTTACTAAAACTGATTGCAGATATGAATGCCTCCAATCTCAACCTGACCTGATATTGAACCTGATATTGGTTGCATAGTGTTGCAAAAAAACACATTTTTTTCTTTTTGCGTATTTTTTAGGGTAAAAAAATGCTTTTTTTTGGTATTTTTTTGGTATTTTTCTTACTTTATTTTAGTAACTACTTTGGTTATTTTTTGCAAAAACTTTTAGAATAGTTTTCTTTGATTCTAATATATTTTAATCATATGATCATTAAAAGCTAAAAACATGTATAAACACCAATTTAACTTATTATTATTATTTTATTTATTTAACACCCAATTTACAAGGTAAAAAGAAAAAAATAAGAAAGTTATTTCGGATGACTTTGCTTAAAAACGTTTTCTTCCAGAATTTGCTTGAAAACTCCTCTTTGCTCTTTTGCATTCCAGCACTCTATTGCATACTTCAAGTTTCGTTCAACTTCGGAAGGAATTTTACTTTTAGAAAGTGGTATTTTTACCTTCTTTTTATTTTGAATTAGGTTTTGAAAATTTAATATCTGAAGATGGCATAGTTCCTGAATATCACTAACAAACGAATGTTGAAATAACGGGTGTTGCAGTTGTGAAAAGATAATGTCTGCAGTTGTTTTGTTATTAAGAAGTCGAAGGAACAAGTTTAACTTATTTTGTTGAACACTTTTTGAAATTTCCTGGATTTTAAATAACGAATTCATATAGTTTTTACTATGTTTTGAAATATTTAAAAACGATTTTAGCGCACTCCTTCCAATTATATCTAGCTTTTTCATCAGACCAGGATTATTTTCACATAGCTCCATACCATATTTTTAATAAACAATTAAATTAGCTATAAGTTAGTTATAAATCTAAGCATGGCGTATAGAAAATATTTATTTGTCATGTTGTACTTCTAACAACTGTGATACAATCATTATATATAGAAACTATTCTTATCCAATATGAAAATTGCCATTTTAATTTTGATAGCGTAAATATTATAGTATATAATACAATGTTTAAAAATATATATATCACTAGTAGACCCTCATAAAAAAACTCTATACTGTACTTAATTTCAAAGAAAATTTAAAAACTTTAAATTATTATTATTTACTGAGTTTCCCAGACCACATTGATGATAATTTGTAATTTATTTATTCAAAATTTATTTTTTTATCTGCATTTTTTTTACATCTAGACATTTTTATATAGTACTATAACAGAAAACTTGCAAAAACTTTTCAACATGCTTTGTTGTTTAAGGTCAATTTTTAGACATAATGTTATGCCAAAAGGAACTTTTTCTATTTTGCTAATTTGGTTTAAAAGTTTATATGGGCAATAATGGGCAACTAACTTAATTATGTCCCCTGCATAGAGAGCTTAACCATGATTGATTACCAACAAGAAAAGCAAGAGGAAATCACTCAATAATTTAAAGATATCCTTTCTCACTATATATATATATATATATATATATATATATATATATATATATATATATATATATATATATATATATATATATATATATATATATATATATATATATATATATATATATATATATATATATATATATATATATATATATATATATATATATATATATATATATATATATATATATATATATATATATATATATATATATATATATATATATATACATACATACATACATACATACATATATATATATATATATATATACATATATATATATATATATATATCTATATATATATATATATATATATATATATATATATATATATATATATATATATATATATATATATATATATATATATATATATATATATATATATATATATATATATATATATATATATATATATATATATATATATATGTATGTATATATATATATATATATATGTATATATATATATATATATATATATATATATATATATATATATATATATATATATATATATATATATATATATATATATATATATATATATATATATATATATATATATATATATATATATATATATATATATATATATATATATATATGTAGAGAGAAAGAGAGAGAGAGAGAGAGATAATGGTGCCTTAAAACCCCCTTTATATAGAAAAGAGTTTTGTGTTAACCTTTTTTTAGATTTTATTGCAGAAAAACTACAGTTTTTATATTAAAAATAAAAAATATGAATTTCTATAAGTTTTTTGATATCTTTTTTTACTATTTCTTTTTTTAGAATTTATATAAAAATTCCCTTTGTTTGAGTACTAAATTGATTTATTTTCAAAGAATATATATGTATATATATACATTAGGGTACATCATACTTTTGTATGTAATAGGGTACATTGTCGTAATAGGGTACATCATAGTTTTAAAATTTTTTATTTTTAATTTGGCGGATAATTTTTATGGTGCCACTATATGTAAATATTAACTTCCGAAAATTTACCAAGACGGGATTGCAGTTTTCGAAAAGGTAAAACTGCCTTGGTAAAAATTTTTTACCTAGGCAATCCCATCTAGGTAAAAAAATTTTTTTTTTTTTTTTTGGAAGTTAATATTTACATATAGTGGCACCATAAAAATTATCCGCAGAATAAAAAATCAAAAAATTTTAAAAGTATGATGTACCCTATTACGACTATGTACCCTATTACATACAAAAGTATGATGTACCCTAATATACATATATACATCTTGGAAATTTTTTCATATATATATATATATATATATATATATATATATATATATATATATATATATATATATATATATATATATATATATATATATATATATATATATATATATATATATATATATATATATATATATATATATATATATCTGGGAAAGATTTTGAGATTACTAAATCATTTTTTTCTAAACACTTAAACACTTAGACACATCAAAGTCATCCTCAAAGACCAACACTCTTCTTCATTTCCAGTAACTTCTAGAGTACCTTGATGTTCTATTCTTGCTCCTGTATTTTTTCTTACATTAATGATCTTCCCGACAACTTTACATCTAAAGTAACTTTTTTTGCTGATGATGAAAATTTTCACTTATTTATTGCTTAGAACAGGCAGCAGATCTTGAACCTGATCTCAATTTCAAAACAGGTTGGGGCTCACAGTGGCTTGTAAATTTTACCTCCAACCAAACTCAGTTATTTACTTCAAACAATTATTGAAATACTGGTGACATTCCTATATTAACAAATGGCAACCTCTCACTAAGTCCCCTTCTTAACATCTTTTTGAATTATCGTTTACTATTCTTTCATGTAAACCATACTTGCACTCGATTACTAAGTTAGCATCTGACTTAGTAATCAAATCGAATTAGAATCTGACAAGTTAACTAAGTTAACTTGTTTCTCTGTGCAGCAGCCTTTTATGTCAAGGTTTGTGTTTTGCAATTACAGAGTTGAGAGAGGGTTATGACAACAACTAAGTGGCCTCCTAGTCTGAAGTGGCTTTCTCGACCTTAGGGAGGTGAATTAACAAAAACAAATCTGTCCCTGCATGCACTAAAAACATTTATTTGTCTAGTTTTTTCCCTGCATTTCAACCCTTCGAAACTCTCTTCCATCTTCATGTTTTTCTGATTCATACAACGTACAAGTCTTCTTTCAACTGTTTTCTTGCTCTTTAACTCTACTCTTTGTTTTTTAGTAACTCTAAACTAAATAGTGGTTGGTGGCCTAAAACTAAAGGTTGGCCTTATTGGGAGTGAATCAGAGTAAAATTCAACATAAATATTCAAAAAAAAAAAAAAGCGGGAATCAAAAAAACATCTCTGTGGTTGCAACTTAGTTCTAGATTGTGTTGTTTTGGTCTAAATGTGTATTTTTATCACTAACTTTTTTTTTATCTGCATAACCATATCTCCTTAAGTTGACTATTTTACCTCTATATTTCACTAGTTAATAATAAGAAAATAGTTTTACCTTTATATTTCACTAGTTAATAATTATAAAAATAATTTTAACTCTATTTTTCACTATTTAATAATTAGAAAACTGGTACTAAGTGCTATTTTATAGATTTTTTTTAAGAATGGCATCCAATTCTAAAGTCATAATACTTAAACACAATCTGTTTTTAGGTAATGTATTCTCTTATTTATTTCCAGTAACCTATGTGGTATCACAAAGTTTCAGAATTGGTCCCATCATCTTTTTAATTTATATTAATAAACTTTTTGACAATATTACCTCTAACCTTCTCTATTTGTTGAAGATACAACCACTAATTCAATTTCGACAAAAATTCATCACATTTTGATTGCTTAGAAAAGTCACTATAAATAACTTTTATTAATAGTTTTGTCAGTATAGGGTACAGGCAACATATGCAAAAAAGACTAATATTGATTAATTTAAAAGAACTTCATGTAGAATATCAATCTGAACACTCTAATTTAAATGTTGGATTTTCAAAGTTTTGCAGCCTTCGTCCAAAAAGGTGTGTAACCACAAACAGGCACTTACAGTGTTTGTGTCTGTACCTATCATCACAATGTCAAGTTGTTAACTGATACTCTTAAAATTGGTAAAGACTATAGAGATTTAATGGGAATGATTGTTTGCAATCGGAATAATCTAGAGTGCATGTTACACCAATGTCTACTATGTCCTAGTATGACTGCTTTTAAAGAATTCTTAACAGAAAAATTTGACAACAGTGATAAAGAAATAACAATTAACCAATGGCGAGATACTGATAGAACTACACTGATCAATCCAAAAATTAATATTGAAGATGTTATTGACCTTATATGCAATAAAATAGATAAACTTACATCTCATTCATTTATAGCTAAAAGTCAGGACAAGTATCTTAAAGACTGTAAAGAGTTTTTAAATCACAATGAGTGTATAATATTGGGTGACTTTGCAGAGAACTTTTAATTTATTGTTCAGGATGAGGTGCAAAATGTAAACTTCATCCTATTATTATATACTACAAATCAAATGGTAAACTGATATCTAAGTCATTTTGCTTTCTTTCTGATGGCGTTAAGCATGATGTATATTTTGTATATAAAGTACAACAGCTCTATTGCGGTAGTGGTGTAGTGGTAGAGCGCTTGCTTCATAAATGAGTGGTTCGGAGTTCGATCCTCGCCACGTCCCTGGTAGTACCGCGCTCAACTCGTTTCTCCGCGCAGCGGCCTTGTTCATCAAGGTTCGTGTTTTGGAGTTATAGAGTTGAGAGAGGGTTATAGCCACAAAATAAGTAGCCTCCTCGTCTGTAGTGGCCTTCTCGGCCTTGAGGAGGTGAATTAAAATATAAAAAAAAAAAAAAAAAGCTCATTATTATTAATTACATTTAAGCAAACATTCTACAAATTAGTAATATAAAATACTTCACTGATGGATGTGCAGCACAGTATAAAAACTTTAAGAACTTTATTAATCTTTGCCATCACAACATAAAGACTTTGGTATTGATGCTGAATGGGTTTTTTTGCCACTAGCCATGGTAAATCTGCTGTGATGGTATTGGAGGCACAATAAAAAGACTAACTGCACAAGCCAGTTTAAAAAGGACAATGACTGGACAGATTTTAAATGTAGATAAGATTTTAGATGTAGATAAAATATGATGTTTGAAATTTGTGTAACCAATATAAAAAACATTCTCATGAATACCTCAAGAACCGTAAGGGGTTGGAGGTTCCAAATTTCAGATTTTCTCTAAATTTTTATAAACCCTACAACATATTAAAAGATTAGCAAAATCCACAACATGGGGTGACATTTTTTGTTTTTTTCTGCTGATTTGAAATGGAATTACCCTAAAGGAATAAAAATAAAGTAATAAAAGTGGTAAGTAATAAAAATAAAGAACAAGCAAGAAAAATAAAAAGATGTCCAGAGAAACTATTAGAGAAAAGAATAATACGGAAGAGAAAAAAACATTCTAAGCTTTGAATAAGGGATAAAAATTTTTTTTTTTTTTTCCAGAATTATTCATTAATTTATATTGTAAAAATAAAACAAAAATAAAAGTTTGCATTATAAGTATTTCATATTTAACATATTTCAAGCAACAGATTTCATACACCGCATATAACAAAAATTTTAATAAAAATATGATTTGATTAATGTTGTAAAATACATACCAAAAATATATACATTCATGTTATATGTTTTTTTTTTGTTTTTTTTTTTAATTCACCTCCTTAAGGCCGAGAAGGCCACTACAGACAAGGAGGCTACTTATTTGTGGTAACAACCCTCTCTATAACTCCGAAACACGACCCTTGACGAACAAGGCTGCTGCGTGGAGAAACAAGTTGAGCGTGGTACTACCAGGGACGTGGTGGGAATCGAACTCCGAACCACTCGTTTATAAAGCGAGCGCTTTACCACTACACCACTACCGCATATGTGGTGTACACATTAAATACAATGTGATTAAATGCATATTACAAAACACTAAACAATATAAAAGCAAAATAACATGAAAAAAAACTGATAAAAAAAATAAAGAAAATTAATTAATTTTGTTAAAAAACACACTTAATTTTGTTAAAACTTAATCAAAGTATAAACTAAAAAACCTTCAGGATAAAAAACTTCAGTTGTAGCAGAAGTAGATTGATTAGATTCAGTTGTAACTGTAGATATAACTGCGGTTGTAGGTTCAGTTGTTTTATTTAAACATGACTGAAATACTTGTGAACAGTAACCAACACCAGAATAATAATTACAAAACGTAAGTAAACAAAAGCAGTATCCTTTTTCTAAAGACACAAATAACAAAAAAAAATTTTAAAAATCTTAAAAGTATTTAATGTAAAAAAGTAAATCAAATTAATTATATTGAATTCAAATTAAAAAAAACATTACATGCTCTCTATAAGTTAAAAATTTTTTCTTGTTAATTAAACATTTATTTGGAACAAATTTAAAATGGTTTTAAAATCTATACTTTTGATATCAAGTTATAATATTTAAAAAAAAAAAACATAAAAAAATAACAAGAAAACAAATGACTGATGTAGTTTGTTTTTTGACAAAAAATGAAAACATTCCTTTACTAAAGAATGGTGATTTATTGTTATTAAGATTCAGACAGCCATCTGCAGACATCATTTCTTTACCAAAAAAAGGTGATTTACTAATGTTATTAAGATTCAGACAACCATCTGCAGACATCATTTCTTTACCAAAAAAAAGTGATTTACTAATGTTATTCAGATTCAGACAGCCATCTGCAGACATCATTTCTTTACCAAAAAAAGGTAATTTACTGTTATTCAGATGCAGATAGTTATTTTTAGACATCATTTTTTTACCAAAAAAAGGTGATTTACTAATGTTATTCAGATGCAGACAGCCATCTTTGGGCATGCATTCATGGTGCAGTGTCTCTCGCAACTTTCTCACTTTCCAGTTAAAATTATTCATGATCAACCTATAATTGTTAACACAATTTTATTCAATGACAGCACAACAGTTTTTAGAATGTTCTGGATAATTTTTCGCCTTTTACCTTAATCTTTTTTGATCTTAATAAAATTAACCTTGTTTCACCAATGCAAGGTTTGTTGCAGGAGCATTCTAGTTTGTATACATCTGAACAAAAGTTTAGATAAAGATGTTTATCGCCATAAAAATGCTAGATGATTCTGACCTTAAAAAAAGCTTCATGTTCATTTTTACTTTAAAAAAAGTCAAGCTTTTAAGAAAAAAATTAAGCAAATTAATTGAAGAGTTAGGTAGTACTATTTGTGATACAAAAAATTACAAGTTAGTTGGACAAATCAAAATACAAAGTTTTTTACGGGACATAATTCAAGCAATGATGCAAGCCAAGAGTAGCTTACTAAAAACTTAAATATCCAATAGTTCTCCAATGCAGTTTAATACATGAAAATAAAACAATTTTTGACCCATAAAAATGTACTGCATGATGTTAGATATGGTACATTGTGATAAAGTTAACAAATAAACAATAAAAAGATCAAAATAAATAAATTAATGATTGTGCATCTCAAAATTTCTGAGGAAGTAGGAAGTGTTCAGTATTTTTCAGATGGGTGTTCCAATGGGTGTTCTAGCTGGGTGTTCTAGCTGGGTGTTCTAGCCAATATAAAAAAATAAAAGCACCATGAATACATGCCACCATAAACAAATATTTGATTTGAAACATACTTAGTTCTTTTTTGCAACAAGTCATGTTAAATCACCTCGTAATGATATTGGTAGTCTCAAATGATATGATTGTAAAAACTGCTTCAACTGTTAGCCTTATTAGAACAATAACAACCATATACTTGAATTTTAAATAAAAATAAGAGAACTTTTAAAAAATAAAAGAGGTTTTTACTACAATTCTAAAAAGTGATAATTGAAGAAAAAATACTGCAAATATAAGACATCACCAAACTTTTGCAGCTGTCACAGTTTTTTAAGTAACACGAAAATTTGAAAAAAATTTGTTTCTGAAAAATTAGAACTTCTTTTTGATTTGCAAAGTGATAGTTGTTATCAAGAATGTTAATAAATACAAATCTCAAAAAATATTTTTATGTTTAATACATGTTATCAAAACTAAGATGTTGAGCACCAAACCATTAAAATCAGTTGGACAAGCATTAAACCAGAAAAAACTTTTATCAAAATGTTAAAAATAGTTAACTCTAATATTTCAAGTATTATTGTTTTATTTTTAATATATTGTTTTTACCCAATTCCTTTTTGTTTCTATTTGTTTATTTTTTTTTTATTACTTTACAACTGGTAAAAACTATAAAAGTTATGTGCAACTTTTTTGCCTTTGATGAAAACTGAAAATTTAAGTTTAATTTTTTGAAAACAGTAGTATTTTTAACTACTCTTTTTAAATTTTTTTTTTATTATGTTTTTTACCATCTTTTTTACAGTCTATTGTGTTCCAGAATTTAAAGCTAAGAATGCTGCAACAACAATAATATTTAAAAATACCTTCTGTTGTTAAAACTGCAGCATTTGTCGTTGTTAACAGACTTTTGGATGTTGCATTAGTTGAAACTAAATATATAAATATACAAAAAAATACTACATATTACATATCACGTTATAAACATTGTGTATATATATATATATATATATATATATATATACATATATATATATATATATATATATATATATATATATATATAAAACCGCAATAATAACGACTAAAAAGTTTTTTTTAATTAGTGGTGTTTTTGTTTTTGTTTTATTAAAAAACATTTTTAAAATATGCGTAAATGTTGCTACATCGACTATCTTATAGCCTGCTGCTACAAGGGAGTGTTTCTACATCGACTATCTTATTGCCTGACTTGCAACGGAGTACTGCTACATCGACTGACAAATAGCCTGACTCGCAAGGGAGTGCTGCTACAACGACTGACTGAAAAAAATCTTATATAAAAAAGTAGACAAAATAATTCAATCATATTGTGTGCAAACAAAATAAATTTACTAAAACAACCACAATAAAATAAAAACCTTTATTTGTAGAAACAGTTGAAGGAGTTATTACAGTTGTGGATATAAGTGCAGTCGTTAATTCAGCTGTTGCAATCAAACATGATTGAAAAACTTGTAAACAGTATTCATCATCAGAATGATATTTACAAAATCTTAATAAACAGGAGCAGTAAACTTTTTCTATAAAAAATTGCTATAAATTATGTATATATGAAATCATTTAAAGAATCATTCCTGCAATAAAAAAATAATAATTGCTTAAATAAACAGTAATGAAAAAAAAAAATCTGAAAATAAACAATATTTAAAATTGGCAAACTAAATTGAAAAAAATTATGATGTATTCTATAACTACAAAACTAGTTTTTTTTTAAAAAGTAATTTTTAGGCAAATATTTTTTACTTCAAAAATATATAACAATTTTTTTAACATTATTTAAGATTTAGATAAAATTCATTTAATCTAAAAAATCAAGTAATAAATAAAACCATGCTACTAATAAATATTAAAAAATTAGGCAAAAAAATTCATTAACACCTTCAGTAGTTAAAAATGTTGTCGATGTTGTGGTTATATTTGATGTTGAAGACTGCAATGTTGAAGTAGTTGCTGTTGAAGATGTTTTGCTTGTTGTCGTTGAAGTTTTTTCGCTTGAAATTAAAGCTGCAATAGTTAAAAACATGATATAATAAAAAAATACTCTTTAAAAATAAAAAAACTCTAAAAATAATAAACATATTTATAAATCAACTATAAAAAAATATTATATAAGAAAAATTTCTTAATAATGCCTTACAGGGCTTTGAACATAATAGTAACAATAATCATACTATAATGGAGTCATCCACAAATTATGTCATGCTGTAGGCAGTAGGATTAACAATATTGTGATTATAGTTGCAAGGGAGGGGGGGGGGTTTATTCAGTTTTATGAAGCAACATTTTTTTTTTAGTTTTAAATCTAGAAAATTTTTTTAATTGATTAAAAGAGTGCCAAAAACACTTGACTGCGACAATTTCAATTTAACATAAATTTGAATTGGCTTTTTAAATTAATATGATTTTTATTGGAATTGGCATATTATAAATTGACTTGAATTTTAGTTGATTAATGTATATGCATATGGCTTTATGAGTCAATGATATGGCTAATAATTTCATCATCATGAAAAATAATAGTAATATTATTATTAAATAAAAATAATAATATAATAATTACTAAACAATAGTAATAGTTAATAAATTTTAGCATAAAATATTATAATGTTAATATAACCTTCACCACGACATTAACTTATTGCTAAAGTAGTTATTTAAGTAATATATTTATCATAAATTAAATATATCTTCAGAGATTATTAGGCCATTAAGTCGCTGTTAATTTATACAACTTTATATCAAACTATATTAGTGCAAAAAAGAAAATATATACATTCCAATTCCTCCATACCTATTTAAGTCAATTGATGTATGTAACTACACTGCGACTAAGGTCATATCAGCCCATTTACACATTGATTATTGGGTAATTCCATATGAAATCATAAAAAAAAAAAAAAATTTCGACACCCTTACTTTTCAGAATTTGTTCATTTTAACCTCACTTGAATTCGATATTAAAAAAATAATAATTACAAAAATTTTAGTTAAAAATACACATGGGTTCCAGAGATATTGTCAGTTACAATAATGCTGACTCATTTTAGTGATTATCTGAAGCGACTACACAGCTACTTTGACAGTATCTTCATAAAAATATAGTATCTTCATAATGGCTTGGGGAAATTTCCTAAAATTTGGTACCCCAATAGATTTTTACTTGGGGAATCCAAAAAGAACACCTTGAAGACTCAATTGTCTTAAGAGATGCCTTGTTTATCAAACTATGTTTAAAATTATTGACTTGTAAATTCATAATTTTAAAGACTGTGGCCCAAAATTCCAAATAAAAAGTTTAATTTTATATCATTATTTTATCTTAGGTCTACTGAAAAAAATTAATTTTCATCAAATGTCTCTCTAATACTTGATCAAAATTTGCTTTTAAAAATTGCCTTTTTAGAAAAATTTAAATTTTGTAACGAAAGCAATTGAAATTTTTTTTAAAACATTTATTTGAATAAAACATCAAATATTTATTAACTAGTTTAGGACATTTATAGTCATAGGCCAAGGGAGGGCCAGGGAGTCTCTGACCAACACCCCTCCCCCATCTTCCTGGTTTTTTTTTTTTTTTAATGCATGAAATGATATAATATTAAATAATTAAAATTAAAGAAAAATTACAAAATGTTGCAATCCTTTTGGAACACTTAAGGAAAGTAAAAAAATTGCTATAAAAGATAATATAACATTAATTAGAACAGAATTGATATGGAAATTAAAATAAATTTTACTATTTATAAAAAATTTTATATATTCAGTTTTTTTAAAAACTTAAAACTAAATTTGTTTATTAGGTAATATAAAGATTTCCCTAGACTTGGCGAAATTTTTGCAACAAAACAATGTTTATGTAACCCCAGGTTGGAAATTCTGCAGTAAATGTTACAAAAAAGCACTAGAAACAGAAGGAGATTTAAATTCACAGGAGGAACGAGAATCAAAAAGTGAGAAAAAAGAAATTTAGGTGGAAGAGCAGTTCCTAGAACAAGGACTTATCATCAATTTATTCCAATTGCTTCAAACACTATAAGTTATAAAAAAAATAAGTATTGATACATGTATTGAAATATTTGATATCATTCCAAAAAGCAAACATAATAAAGAGGTTTAATTAAACATTAAAAAAATATATTATATTGCATGTTTTTATGACGGATTTTGGTGGGTAGGGATTGCTGAAGATGTAAGTGAGCTTGATATAAAGATCAGATTCATGCATCCACATTTTGGCCAATGACGACTGTTGGGTGCTCAATTCTGAAGTTATATGACTAATTCTACACCAACAATAATATTAGGTCATACATACAATATATCTGATTTAGATTTGGAGAATATATATAGCAGTTGGTTACAAAAAAAATTAATAACATTTAAAATAATTTTGTTGTAATTGTATTAACCTATTTTGCATTTAGAATTTGTCTTTCTTTTTTGCAAATCCTTGGATGGAAGGCTGAGAAGGAGGGGTGTTTAAATAAATCCACCTTATTATGTCAATGACAATATTAGTATTAATCTATAAAATAATACCATGAAGATATTGATTGTTAAAATGTTTTAAAAAACATTTCAATATTTTTGGTTTTATAATTTATGATTTTGAAAATCGTGAAAAGATCTTATTTTTGAGTGCTTATTTTGAAATAAGAGGTAAATAATGAAAAAAAATTGTTTCTCAAACTTAAACTAACAAACAAATTGTTTTTAAATTAAATTTTAATAATTATTTATTATATCATTTAATGAATAATAATAAAAAAAAAATTCAGGGAGATTGGGGGGGGGGCAGAGTTGGCATTTTAACTGATGATTTCTCCAGAACCCATGTGTATTTTTAACTAAAATTTTTGTGGTTATTATTTTTTTAATATGGACTGCAAGTGAGGTAAAAATAAACAAATTCTGAAACATAAAGGTGTCATGGTCTGGATGATTTCATAAAGAAAGACCCTATTATTATTGTGTGAAACTTTGAAAAATGTAAATAATAAATACAGTTATAAAAATAGTTAAAACATATAAAACAACATTTAGATTCATCAAAACATAAAACACAAAACTGTAAAAAAATTTTAACGTTTTTTAGTATTAGTATCTTGATGGGCTTTTTATTTGTACACACATACAAATAAAGATCCCCAAAGTAATACTAAATAATAATAATTAAAATTTTCATGTATTAAAATGCATTCATTAGATAACTAAGATAAGCAGCCAAGAAAATTAATAATACTATCGTATTTAAAATAACAAGAAAAATTTTTATTACTATGAGGGAGGGGGAGAAAGAGGTCCAAAATTGTTCAAAATTGCGTGAGGTAATTTATGGATAACCCCAATGGGCTTTGAATAAAACAATATTTTTTTAAAAAAAAAAGCATTATAGTATGATTAATATTATTATTTTTGAATGATAATTCACACAAGATCCATCAAAAAAAAAAAAAATGCTTTTGATTAGTGGAATAAAAAATTTTTTGAGATTGTAACAGTCTTTAGTTCAAAAACTTACAAATAGTTAATGAATTAAATTTTTTGAATGGAGTTAATTTTAAATAATAACTACAAATGTCAACATTCCTTTAAAAGTCTAAAAAATCAAATTAATGCAAGTTTATGATTGGTGAAAAAAACATTGCTTTGAGAACATTATAATAATTTAAGTTAAATAAAACAATTTTTGTTTTCAGAATCTAGGAGTTATTAAAGAGAAAATATAGAATTAATTATAAAATGAAGGCAAGCAAAAATTGACGAACAACTCTTACAAATGTAAATCAAAATCTGAACCACCTGCTAAGAAAAAAGATTATGAAAGAAAGTTACAAATAAAAATAGCTAAAAGATTAAAGATTTATCGTTTTTAAATAAAACTACTATTACTTTGAATAATAAACTACTAGTACTATCACTTTGTATAAAAACTTTTTTGATACAAAAATTTTATACACAGATGACTGGTTTAACAGCATTGAAAATAATATTGGGTAAAGAATCAGAAAATACTAGATAAAGAAAAAGAAAACTTTTATGACTTTAATAAAATATTGTTACAACATGCTGGTTTTGCCAGAAGTCTTAATGATGTTTTGTATAATTGGGATAGCTTAATAAAGTAAACTGTAAAATATTTAGCACCATATAGTACTGTTAATATTATCTAACAAACACAATGAAAAATATATCTTCTAATAACACTTCTAATTTGAGTAAGTTTGAAAGAAAAAGATTCTAACATATTTAATGCACTACAAAGACCCACCCAATGTATTCAAAAAAGGCAAAAAAAAAAAAAAAACTGGTTTAAAACATTGATTTCCATCTGTCATCTGTCAAATCAAATAATAAATAAAAATGTTTCTTTTTAATTACTAAATAAATGAATTTAAAAATTTAATGATTAAATATTGTGCTGATATGATAGAATGATTTTTGTTAAAGAACTTGTTTTGGTTTATTCATAAAACATATGCTAAAAATGAAGAGAAGTGAAAAACTCAAGAGTTAATTGGCACAATTTGAAATTTGGTTTATTTAAATAATAATTTCTGGTTTTAGCAGCAAGATTAAAAAAACCCTACTAAAGTGTGTTACTACAGAAATAGCTGACTATGACCTTGATTTGCTAAAACTTCCGTCTTGAAAAACTTTTTTAACTTTTAAAATAAAGCTTAAAAGTTTTGAGTATAGTTGCTTCATTGATTGTTGCCTGATCAAATTCTACTAAAGTTGAAAACTCAATAAGAAAAGAGACCTGGCTTCACACTTGTTTTAAATTCAATACTGTCATTTTCATGAGAAAAAAAATCTATTTAAACAGGGATGAGCACAACATAGGATATAGCCAAGAGCTTTAGTATTTGCTATAATACCAAGACTAAGGCTTTGTGGCTCAAGCCAAGGTCTGGACAAAAACATTCAAAATAATTCTTCAAGATATTTAAAGTTCTTCAGTTATAAAAAATGTTGTAAATAAAAGTTGTTTAAAAAAAAGTCTTATATAAAAAGTAGACAGAAATCAATTTATTAATTAAAACAACCGCAATAAAATAACAAAGACCTTCATTTGTTGAAACAGTTGTAGGTATAACTGGAGTTGTTGCAGTTGTGAATATAACTGCAGTCGTGGATTCAGCTGTTGTAATCAAACATGATTGAAAAACTTGTAAACAGTATTCATCGTCAGAATGATATTTACACAAACTTAATAAACAGGAGCAGTAAACTTTTTCTATAATAAATTTGCTATCAATTATGTACTAATAAAATCAATAAAAAAGTAATCATATCAATAAAAAAAGTTATCGTTTTTATTATCTTTTATTTATGTAATTCTTATTAGCAATTAGAATTACATAAATAAATGGTAAGGTAAAATAGGTTTAAATATTAGACCTATTTCGGTAGTGGTGTAGTGGTAGAGCGCTCGCTTCATAAACAAGTGGTTCCGAGTTCGATCCCCACCACGTCCCTGGTAGTACCGCGCTCAACTCGTTTCTCCGCGCAGCAGCCTTGTTCGTCAAGGTTCGTGTTTTGGAGTTATAGAGTTGAGAGAGGGTTATAGCCACAAAATAAGTAGCCTCCTCGTTTGTAGTGGCCTTCTCGGCCTTGAGGAGGTGAAGTAAAATAAAAAAAAAAAAAAAAATATTAAGCTTCTAAATAATTGTTAAAGTTGTAAAAATAAATAAATATGTTTATAAGACTGGAAAACTAAACTTAACAAAATTATAATGGATTATATAACTACAAATTTAGAAGCAAGTTTTGTGTTTAGTGGATTTAGAAAATAATACAACTTTTTTCGATTCAGTGAGTTATATAAAACATATTTATGTTTTGAAGGTTTTTGAAGTATTTTTAGGACATAAACTATTAAATTTATTAAATTCCTTTTAACATTTAAAAAAAAAATTACATAAAAAAGAACTAAAAATATGATAAGTAACAAAGTAAATTAACTTATAAAAAAAGAAATTATATTCTCTCAAAAAAATTCAAAGACAAATCTAAAAAAGAAAATGACATCACAAACCTTTACCTTTAATTGGCATTCACATCTCAAAAATAAATCAATATTTAAAATGTATATAATATAATGAAATTTAATTTAGGAATTAATTGTTATGCAATTTTTTGTATCCGTTTACAGTGGACAATTTTACATAATAATATAATTTTACAGACATATATTTATACTTTATTTTACAAACATATATTTATACTTTATTTTACAAACATATATTTTGACAAATTATCAATAATATAAGTTAGGCCAAAAATAAATCAATGCAAAAATTTCAGAAACTTGTAGAAAAATTCAAGTTTAGTACTAGCACAGTATCTAAAAATCTATTCAATAAAAGAAAATTTTTTTTATTTTAAATAGTAATTTTTTAGAAAAAAATTTTTTAATTTAAAAATATAATTTTTTAGCTAAAACTAGTTAAATTAAATTAGTTTTAGCTAAAACTTAGCTAAAACTAATTTAATCTAAAGATCTAAAGTTCTTTAATTTAATCAAAGATCAAATCATGCTATTAAAAATTAGGAAATTAGGCAACAAAATCCAAAAATACCTTCGGCAGATAAAAATGTGGTTGTTGAAACTGTCGGTATATTTGATGTTGAAGACTGCAATGTTGAACTTGCTGCTGTTGAAGATATTTCGCTTATTGTCGTTGAAGTTTTTTCGTTTGAAATTAAAGCTACAATAGTAAAAACATAACATAATAAACAAATACTTGAAAACTTTAAATATCATTAAAATATTTATAAATAAACAAAGAAAAAATGTTTATTAAGAGTAAATTTTTAAGAAAAAAAAAAAGCATTATAGTATGATTAATGTTACTATTATAGAATAAATCATTTTGTTATTAATAATTTTGTTGTTTTTTTTTATAAAAGTTTACTTTTAAAAAAATGCAAGCAGACACTATCTGAGTTTAAAACTATTAGAAAGTAAAGAATAAAGTTAAAGATAAACTGATCCGTTGACAAAAGACTACAAGCTGTATAAGTCAGGAAAACATGAGTATGGAAGACAATTCCAAAGTGTTAATGTTTGAAGAAATAAATTTGATCACCTATCATTGCACCACTTGCTACAACTCTAAACTAGACTACAATACTTTTTGTGATAGTTCTTTGTGATAGTTCTTGTGATGATGTCTTTTATCTTTTTGCTGATAAATGCACATTCTACCTAACTTCCTGGATCCAGGCAGGTACGGAAGCTTTTATTACATCTTGACGGTTCCATATCAAGCCTAATTCTACTCCATGGTTTGCACTCTTTTGTGCAGTTACTATTTTTTTGTTGTAAATAATTTTTTAATCTTTTTCACAGTAACAACTTTCTTGAGAACAAATGCATTTTTATCATTGCAAAAAAACCAATGTAAAATAGTTTTGTCTCGTGTTAAACTCTATTATTCCCAGTTTACTAAACCTCATATCAGTTAGGCTCTATTTCTACTTTTGAGTCTAGTGGCCATATTATTCTGACACTCCAATATCCAAAACGAATAACCAAATATTAGACGTTAAACTAATCATTTCTTTCTAACCACAGTATTTAAGTTATCCTCAAAGGCCAACATTCTTCTTTATTTCTAGGTTCTATTTTTGATCATTTTATTTATAAATTAATGATCTGAAAATCTTACATTAAGTGGCTCTACTTGCTGACAACTTTTACTTTTTTCTTGACAACAAGTCTTCTCACGCTGATTGCTTAGAAAAAGGTGTCATATTGGTTGCTTCATTTTATTGTGCTCTCTATTATCTTTCTCTTGATTCTATTCTCTACTTCTATAAATCTTTTGTTTGTTCCTGTGAGAAATATTGTTGTCATATTTGAGCAAGTTCTTCTAATGATGCTTTTTCTCTTTTTGAAAAGGTCTAAAAATGCATTACAATTGCAATTAGGTCTGCTCTATCTGCCACCCTGAGCCACTCTCCTGTGGATATAAGATTGTATTTCTTTTTTTTTTTCTACAAATATTATCATGATCGCTGCACAAATGTGCTATTATCTCAAGTTACATCAACCAAAAATTATTATTGCTAAATTCATTCAGCAAAGTCGCATCTCTTTACTGTATCTATTCCTTTATGTTCTGAAAACATTTATTCATCTTGATTTTTCTCCACTTGTCAATGCTTCGGAACTTTGTGACGCACACAACTTTCATCTTTTCAAGTCTTCTGTCAACCATTAAGTGCTCTTTATCGCTAATCTATTTTTGTTTTCTAGAAACCTAATATGATAGTGGTTGCTTGCAGTTGATTTCTAGAAACCTAATATGATAGTGGTTGCTTGCAGTTGATTTCTAGAAACCTAATATGATAGTGGTTGCTTGCAGTTGATTTGGGAGTGAATAAGTATGAAAAGTTCAAGAGCAACTGTAAACTTATTATCTGCAGTTTTTTCTGATAAAAAGTTAAAAAAAAAAATTATAAAAACAAATAACACACTATTTCATAAATATTTTAATAAAAAAAGATCAAATAGCTTAAAATGTTAAAAAGAATTTTAAACCTATTGTTTGCAATTTTTTCTAATAAAAGGAAAATAAATAAACATTTTGTATTTGGATCTTCAGTTGTTGCAATACATGATTGAAATACAGTTAAACAATAATTAATACCAGAACGATAGTTACATAAATTTAGTAAACAGGAACAGTAAATTTTTTCTATAATATTGATAACCATGTTAACATAACTTACAAACTGAATGTAAAATTTGCTCTATTTTATGCCAAACTTAATTTTTATAATGCCAACCACAAATGTCAACATTTAAAGAAAAAAGATAATAAAAAAATGAAAACTAAGAAGAGTATATATATAAGAGAAAGAGATAAATAATTTACCAATTAAAATTTTAAAAATTAAACAAAAAAATAGTTGAAAACCTTCTACTGATAAAAGTTGAGTTGAGGTAGCATTTATTAATGACAAATTCTTAGCATCTAATGATAGTGTTGTATTTAAACTTGTTGTATTTAAAGATTGATTATTTGCCACATTATGTTCTGTTAAAATACTTGAACTTTAAATTAAAATAACATAAAAATTATATTAAATATAAAAACTAAAACCATGAAAGAAAATACACTAGAGTTAAACTTTTAAAGTTAAAAAATAAAATAAAAACCTTCTGTTGTAAAATTGTTAGTTGCTGCAGCTTTATTTAATGTGCTTGTTGTATTTTCAGCTGTATCAAGTGAAAAAAAAATTTAAAATGTGGTACACAAATTTTATTTTCACACAAAATATTTCCAATTATTTTCAAAAAATTAGTTTCTTATTAAAAACTTAATGAACATTATTACTGAATTTTTTTATCTATAGTTAGCACATTTAAGTATGAGTAAACCTATTTATCTATTTTTTCTAAAAATTTTAGTGTCTGCTAAAGTTTGTAACAAAATAATTAAACTACAATAAAGTTATACCAAATTTTATTAATAAAAGAAGTTTTTTGAGTAAAGATAGGTATAAAAAAGAAATATTTATGTTATTAATATTATAAAAAGTATTTCTAATGCATGTTTAGCCTTAATCATACATTATAGTCTTAGTCAAATATATAAATCTTTTAACTTCTAAAAAATAATATTATTATAATACTATTTATTGTACCAATATCTGTTATAATATGCTAAAATATATGCTCTACTTATTATAAAACATGTTGTATTGAGTACTCTTATTGGAAATATTAACATAATTTTAATATTACTAAAGTCCATGTTACTTTTTTTCTTAGAAATACTCTCCATATGTGAAAAGAGAAAATAAAAAAGACAAAAGCACAGGTAAGACTAAACCTCACCTGTGAATTTGTTAAATTCCAGCTTATTTGTTGCAGTGTGTGGTAATTTCCAGACCTTCCAACTTTTTTATGAAATCCTGGAGATTTAATAAGAAAAACCTTGGGTGCACACAAAAACCTGGAAAAATAAATAACTTTTTTTTACCTTAAGCACATCTTATTAATACATTTTTTTTTTGTTTAAGGTAAATTGTAAAACATAAAAATATTTTTTTTAATCATCTAAAGTGCTTTAAACACTTTAGGCGAATGTAAGATAAAAAACATAAATTTAAATCAAAGACATAAACTATAACCCTAAGAACGGTTAGAATAAGATAAATACTGTAAAATAATAAAAATTCCTTATGATATTTTCAATTTATCAATAATTGGTAATGATCTTGTAGTTGATTTAAAAATATTAATTTGAAAATTTTAAACAAATGTTTTTTGTTTTATTTGGTAATTTAAAACAAATGTTTTTTGTTTTTTAAAATAAAATGTTGTTGTTTTTACTGCAAACCTTAGTTGTTGGAAGGTCTGAATTTCTTTCTGAGATTGCAATAATTTATGGGTATATTTAAGATGATTATTAGGTATACATTTCTGATTAATAGCACTTTGTTTGTTTGTTTGTTTTTTGCATATTTTTCCCTAAAAAGACTGATTTCACAATTAGTCTTTTAAGGGAAAAATATTTCAATTTCAACTATTATTAAGAATATTATTTATCTAAATTAATTAATTAATTTAGATAAATAATATTCTTAATAATAGTTTACGTTACTAGCCGTTCTCATGGTTACATTTTAAACGGATGGATTTAAATTTGAAAATTCGGTAAGAGTGCATTCTAACATAGTTATAAGAAAGTATTCTTATGACTATGATTTATAAGGGCGGTTCTTTTATACTTCAAAAGTTTTTACTTCAAACGGTTTTGGCGTAAAGTCCTATGGAACTTACTACAATTTTTTCACCGCTAAATTTTAAGTTCTTTTTACTTTATACTAATAAATACTAAACGAACTTTAAATTTAGCAAAAAAATGAAAATAAGAATAAAAACTTTTTGTATAAGCGCTTGTTAAATCTGTAGCGCAGTTATAATGAGGAATGATAGTTATAGGAGAAATCTCTTTATACTACTTAAATACTACTAAATATAAATTAAATATAATCTTGTAAAACTTTAAAAAGGTAAACTTAAAATTAAAAACATTGTAGCAATAATAAACAATACAACACTTCAGTTATATACTAAAATCAGGGGTGGATATACTCGGCACTTCTACATCTGAGAGCGTTATTTCGAAAATTGATTAAACACGCCGTGTTTTATAAATTTAAGATTATAAAATAACGTCTTCGTTTCAGTCTATGTTAAGAAAACTTAGAAGAACTAATTATTATCTCAGACAGCCATTGGAAGACATTGACATATCGATATGCCAATGTCTTCCAATGGCTGTCTGAGATAATAATTAGTTCTTCTAAGTTTTCTTAACATAGACTGAAACGAAGACGTTATTTTATAATCTTAAATTTATAAAACACGGCGTGTTTAATCAATTTTCGAAATAACGCTCTCAGATGTAGAAGTGCCGAGTACCACTCTACAACTTAAGATCTTAAGTTGTAGAGTATCTTAAAATCAGCTAAAGTTTAATGTTTAAATATTATCCTAAAATGATATTATATGTTGCTCCTTAACAATAAATTGTTAACTGTTTTTTCCACCTACCTATATTGATTTATTTTCCACATATTAAAGTAATAATTAAATTATTTTACTATTTGCCTATACAAGGAACTTTCATTTATTTTACTTGTATATTTCATCTCCACCTGGGGTGATATACTCCTAGTCCTCCCTTTAAAACTAAAATTCTGGCTTGATGATAAGTTACGCAATAGTTTGTTGTTGATAAGTTAATATAATATTATGCAAATTCAACGGTGAGTTAAAACTTGATAATTTGATATTTTATTTTATTTCATTTGCACTTATTCGATAAATGACCTCCTCAGACAAAATTATAAGCATATTTAAATAGTATGATTTTGCAAATTACTATGATTTTGCAATAGTTCGAAAATAGACCGATGAATAAAAAAAACCATTTGCTTTTTTTCAGCGTTTTTGAAGTAATTGCTTAATTTTACGTGAATAAAAGTTTCAGCAAAATTTTAATCAAGTAAAGTTGAGAATTACTCCAAAAACGCTAGGTAAAAGTAACTGCTTTTTTTATTCTCCCGGTTTATTGTCAAACTTTTGCCTAGAGGGTACAAATGTGTTTTAAACGTGTTAAAAACGTAGTAGTACGTTTTATAACGTGTTTTAGACGTCTTTAACACGCGTTATGCCCACTGGGCGACTATTTAATTAAAATTATAATTTTGTCTGAGGTGGTTGTTTATCGAATAAGTGCAAATAAAATTGAATAAAATAAAAAATAAAAATTGCAAACTTTTTTAAAAAAAAAAAATTTGTAGTTTTATATTCATAACGAATGATTTTAAATTTCATTTCCATGCCTTAGGTGACAAAATAATTAAAAAAAAAAAGTTATCAATAAGTAGCAAAATAGTCAGTTTAGGATTGAAATATTGATACTTAGTCGCCCATTTTTCATTTTTGTTAACATTAAATTATAAACTATTATTTATTTTTTGTTTCATTTAAATTTCATGCTATATTTTGCTGTACAACTCTCTTATATTTGTAGATATTGTTAGCTTAGCATAGAAGCGTCCACAAATAGTCATAAAAGCTAATTCAAACTAGCGTCCGTTTTTGACTAATGAATTTGCGTACCAAAGTAATACTCATGCGCTAAATTAACGGTGACTGGATTTAAACTCATATCGAATAGTATTGAACACTCTGGGTTTTAAAAATTTATTTGACCTAAGCCATATTTAGCATAGAGCGTAGAAAAAAGGCTTCCCCTAACCCCTTCTTCGCTCTCTTAGCCAGTGAACTTAAATAAAAATAATAAATAAAAGTTTCTCATTACAAAATTCTGAGTTTGTTTTAAACGGAAATAGAAAACTAGGTAGCTACAAATCATTGTTTCCATACTTTCTTTACAAATTTGCTCGTATTTATTGCAGAAAACTTAATGAAGAAGTTTTGTTTGAAGAAAATATCTCTTATATTCATAATGTACATAGTCAATGCATTTTTAATATTGTTTAGTGTATCGAAACTATTTTGATATTATTTTTTCTTTACTTGTCTATACTATAAATCAAGTTGGCTCTTCCTTTTATATCTGCTTATAATGAGAGAAGTTTCAGAAAACTATAGATCTAAAATTCTCTCTCTATATATATAAATTGATGGTTGTGCAACCCCCCCACACACACACACACTTCAAAACCCGTGTTGTCGACCCTGAAGTCTATCTCTATGCTGATTGATTTGTTTTTGAATTGGACTTTTTTTTTTTTTAATTTTGATGTTTCTATGTTGCAACCAATTTCGTTACACACTTGCTCGCTCCATATAGCACCCTATAATGAAATTATTTGCACCAGGGGCGAGTTTTTTTAATGAGCACAAGTTATAAAATGCTTAGGAAAAAACAATTTAAAAATTAGTATAAGTAAACATTACGTTTAAAAAATGGTCAAATAAAAATTGATAGGTAAAAAACTGATTTTTTTAGCGTTTTTCTTTTGCAAAAAATATTTTAAATGTAAATAATACAAAAATAGCTTATATTAATAAACAGTTATTTATATAAATAAAGATAAAGAAATATGTTATTTATGCATAATAAAAAAATGATTTTATATTATTATGAAACCAGTGAAAATTTGGAAATATTGACAGCTGCAAAGTTATTTTATGTAGCTACTGAACAGACACAGACTTGACGTTATGTCATAATTTGCTGCAATAGTTATTATACCATTAGTCAAAACGTTGTGGCGTCATACACACTTAACATACAACAACACTGTCATATAGCTTTTTAGTTAGTAATATTGATTACCCATAAGATTATATTAATGTTTTAGCTAGTGAAGGATCCATTAATTTTTGGTGGGGGAGGGGAAGTTGAAATATAGTTGTATTTAATGTCACAATTGATAATAATATCATTAAATATTATAAAATAATATAACTTCATTTATTATCATAAGTATGTTAAATTCATTACTAAAAAATTGATCTTTTTTTAATGTGAGAAAAAAAGAGCTATAAAGCTAGCGATTCGCTGGCTAGCCGTTTGCTAATTTCCGGTAGTTGTTTTCCAAAACAACATTTTTTTAAATAAATACTATGACCATGGAACAATATATGTATAATAACTTCAGTTCAATAGTAAAACAGGAAATTTTCAGCTTTTAAATATATGTTTATGCAGCTGCACAATATTTGAAAAATTGTTTTAAAAATAAAAAAGCGTTAAAAAAATCCAGAGAAGAAAGTCTCAAAAAAGATATTGTGTGGATCTTAAGGCTTTTAACATACAGTTGAAGTTTTCAGTGTGCCGAACTGCAAACTTTCGATACTTCTAGATAAACTCATAAAATTAATACAAAAATATAAATATTTTAATTATAAATAAACTTTGATAATAATGTGTTCTTAGATAACTCTTAAGACAAAACTTTAACTTTTTTAGTAAAAAAATTACATTTGTAATATAAAAGCAATTTATAATAATAATATATTATATTTTTTTATCATGTATTCAGTGATGAATCTAAGATTTTTTGGTGTTTGAGATAACTACCTTCCGACATCAAGCAAACTCCAAATATTTGTATGTTTATATTTAAGTTTCCTAATAAGATCCTTCAGCGTTCAAAAATTATGACCATAACAAATTTCTCACCCCCTCAAATCGAGGGGGTTTAAACTTTATATGATCATATTTTTTGAAAGCTGAGAGATAATACTAAGAAACTTAAAATTTATCGATGAATAGTCTAGTTGAGAATAGTACAAAAATTATTTTATCAACTTTTTGCCCCTCACATTTGAAGGAAGGGAGGATAAAATCAAAGGGCTTTTTTGTGTCCAGCCTCCAATTTTGCAATTCATCTTTTCAATTTTTTGCAAAGTATCATTATTTGACATTAGTATAAAAATGCAAATGTTTGGAGTTTGCTTCATGTATGGAAGCTATCTAAAACACCAAAAAAAACCTGGATTTGTCACTGCATATAATATATCATTGGACTTATATTAAAAATATTATTTAGAAAATTATATAAAAATAGGACAAAAATATTGTATAGGTTATAAAGCTTTTAACACGCAGTCAAAATCGTCAGTTTACCAACCTCCAATGTATTCAAACTTTCATAAACTCAAATAATTAATTAAAAAAAACTAATAATTTTTTGATAAACATTTGAAATAATTGATAAATAAATTAAAAAACTAAATTATAAATAATTTTGAAAATTGCATTTCTTATATATGAAAAAGGTTTTTAATTATAGTATAGTATAAAAATTATGATATAAACATAATTTAAACATGAGCGAATTCCAGAATTGGTATAAATTTATGAGTTGTTCTTTTTTAAAAACAAGCTGTAAAAAAACTGAAGATATAATAAACTTATAATAAAATATAGTAATAACTTAAAGTAAAAACTATAATAAATTAGTTGATAAAAATAAAAAAAAGTGCAAACAAATACACATATATGATATATAAAACAAAGTATTACACATTTATGATATATTATAGAATATAGTACTCATATATTGACAAGTTATGACTTACTAAGACAAGAAGAATAATTAGTTAAGTTTCCAGATGAATTGTTTAATAAACTTATATTGAATCCATTGGTTAGATAGGTGCAGTTTTGATTCTCCAAAGTATATGCTAAATTATATAGAAATCTAGTTTTAAAAAATTTTGCTTTATATATATATATATATAATATATTATATATATATATATATATATTATATATTATATATATATATATATATTATATATTATATATATATATATATATGCTTTATATATATATATATATATATATATATATATATATATATATATATATATATATATATATATATATATATATATATATATATATATATATACTAATCAGTTTGTCGCATTTAATGCTGATTTAAGTATTTAAAATTTAAAGATTTAATGCTGATCAGTTTGTTGCAAAAGGAAAATACCATTAATGTCCGATTTTAGATTTACTGTAAGTTTACTTTAAAGAGCTAAAATCTTTAATTGCTTTGCTAGTGTTAACGATTTATGTGCAGTTTCATGATCACATCTTCCAATTTCTGACAATGTAATTAAAGCATTATGTATATCACTAACTTGATAACAAACGGTTTTGAGACTACTCATTTTTACTTCTCACCGCGTGTCATAGATTTTTTTAAATGCAAAATTCCAACGTAATCAATTAAAGTTTTCTATCGGCTCACTGAAGCTAAGAATAGAGTGAACAATCTCTGAAAAATAAAGATAGATGTTACTGAAGACCGTGTCACTTATTTAAGACCGTGTCACTTAGTGAACAGTCTTTTATTGTCGAATTTAGACTATGGCTGCCTCAGTCAACATATGATGCTAAAGGATTGAGATTTTAAATTATTTTTTGTGCCCAATTTATCTTTCCTTTCATATTTGATCCATTATCAAACCCTTGACCTGTGCAGTTAAAGATTTAAAGTCCACGCTAAGTTAGCAACTCAAAACTTTAGTAAGTCGTAAGCCTATAGAATCAGAATCAGGAAAGAATTCTAAAAAGTTGTCTTTTTTTTCTACTCTAATGTCTGATGGCAAATTCATTAATTCAAATAGTAAGATTAAGTTGTTCTTTTCTAAAAATATCAAGTGTACAATCTTATTGATTACAATGATTGATCCGTAAACGGCTTTTAAGACTCGGCTTATTATTTTATCAATAACCTCTTGATACATTAAATCTATTTTAACTAATTTTGAATATTTTTTCCGCATTAATGATTGCCTTTCATTGCAAGAGCCACCTTTTATTGGAAGCGCTGTATATTTTTGCATCACAAGTTGAAATTTTGCAAGCATATGTATTAGTCCTAAGAATTTGTCGTTTTTAGGTATAAACTGTTTATTTGAATTCCCTCAAAAAGCCATATTGTTTTCAGCTAAAGAGTGTTATTCATCAACCAAAGAAGAACATTTTTCCATCGCAAACTGTCTTTTTAATTAATTTTAAGTTCTTTTTTATCTATAGTTTTTCCGGTTTTTATTCTTATTTTAGTTTCCACCCACTGTTAATATTATTTCGGACGGGAGACGCTATTTTCATGAATTTTATGTTAAATGTCTCCATTTATTAAACTCATCAAAGACAAATTTTTACTTTGAATTGTTATCAAAAGTAGATAGCAAAAACAAAATATGGAGTGTTTAGAATCTGAATAAACCAACCATATACGTCAAAAGGTTTCTCCATTTACAAGTTTTTTAATGTAATATATGCTAGAAAACTGTCCAACAATTTTATCTGTAGGGTATATTTCGTTTTTAATTTGAAATCAACCAAGTTTAATTAAATGTTCCACAAAGTTGCGATTTCGAACAATTGACCATTTAAAATAATCCAAAAAATTAGGTGTTTCTTGTAAAATATATTGTCCAATGAATCATTACATTCTTTTTTGAAATAACTAATTTATTATTTACTTCAATTTCCAATAAAGTTACACAATTATTTTCTAGTATTGTTGAAGGTTCTCTAAATTTATTGGACACAGTCGTAGAGATAGTTGAAGAATCGTCACGATCTTTTTTATAAGCAACATATTTTTAATGCTAATGAATTTTTTAATTTTTTTCAAATTTTTGATCTTTGTATTTTATTTTTCTGTACTCAGTTTTCAGTTTTCATGCCAAACTTTTTTCTTGAATTTCGAATTTTATGTTACAGATTATTTGTTATTCGTAATATAAAATTACTTCTATAATTAAGAAAAAAATTGAACAAAGTTCTCCAAAAACATTCATGAATTTTTTAAAGAAGATAAAACAAATTAAAACTTACTGATTTTTAAAAATTGTTTAAACCAAGTCAACTTAACATTTAGTAACAAAAACTCTTTTTTGAACTTCTTTATAGAATTATGCAATTTTTCGAAATGACTAGCAAAAGCAAATAACACACAAAGGATACGAGAAATTACAAAAGTAAATCTTGCCTTAATTATACTTTAAAGTAAATTTAGTAACTTTTTGACGTTCAAACTTAAAATCCCGTTTTTAATGTAAAGGATATATATATATATATATATATATATATATATATATATATATATATATATATATATATATATATATTTATGTATATATATATATATATATATATATATATATATATATATATATGGTCTTATACAACATATATATAATTTATATTAACCTTAATATGTAAATAATATGACAATATAAAAAAAACATTCATGAATTTTTTAAAGAAGATAAAACAAATTAAAACTTACTGATTTTTAAAAATTGTTTAAACCAAGTCAACTTAACATTTAGTAACAAAAACTCTTTTTTGAACTTCTTTATAGAATTATGCAATTTTTCGAAATGACTAGCAAAAGCAAATAACACACAAAGGATACGAGAAATTACAAAAGTAAATCTTGCCTTAATTATACTTTAAAGTAAATTTAGTAACTTTTTGACGTTAAAACTCATACTTAATATATTTTAAATGAGAAATAGCAGTCATCAAATATTTTTGGCAAAGTAAAACGTTTAGAAAAACACTGTATATTTTCTAAACTATTGCGTCATTAGCAAACAAAAAATAAAATGATAAAAATATATATATTTAAAGTTCAGGTAGCGTAAAATGTGAAAAAAATATTTTTGTTAGAGGTGTTCTAGAAAATCATAATAGTATGCATATTGCTGTAAGTCTTAACTTCTAATTGTAAAAACAAATAAAAATAAAAAATCGCGCACAGAAATGGAAACATCCTGCTTTGTTAATACAAGAAAGAATTTTTTACTTTCAAAACAAACAAGTTTTATCTTTAATAAAAAAGATTTTATCAAAAAAATTTTATAAAAAATCAATTAAACAACTCTTGAGCAAGCGTGATTTTATTTACTCATTACAAGCTGAACAAGCGTTGTTTATTGTACCTAGAAGTTTTAAATATTCCATTTTGTGCTTTACGTGAAGAAAGTGATTGCACACAAGCCCTTTTCATACATTTTTTAATACCGGCGTTGAGCCAATACAACACCGGCATTTTGGTACTTAAAAAGCCCGGTAACAGCAGTTTTCCGGTATCGGTACTACCAGTATTGGATGACTACTTACGTGGTATTAAAATTAGTATGCTTTAAAAAGATTTTAAAAAAAGTTGTATAATTTTTTTACAAAAACTAAAGTCCTAACAAACCACTTTAAACTAGCTTCGTTTAAAATACATTAAAAACTAAATCATTTCCTTCACATCAATTTTCAAATAAAACGCATTTTAATTTTGCATTATTAGATCATTATTACGTCATTTATATATATATATATATATATATATATATATATATATATATATATATATATATATATATATATATATATATATATATATATATATATATATATATGTATATATATATATATATATATATATATATATATATATATATATATATATATATATATATATATATATATATATATATATATATATATATATATATATATATATATATATATATATATATATATATATATATATATATATATATATATATTTTTGTGTGTGTGCGTGTGTGTGTGTGTGCGTGTGTTTTTGTGTGTGTGTGTGTGTGTGTGTGTGTGTGTGTGTGAGTGCATATATATATAAATTCGAATAAAAAGATTTAAAAAAAAACTTTTAAATTTTATTACACAGAAGAGTCTACAGAAGATCAATAAATGATAGAAATGTTGTTAAATAAAACTATTTTGTTAAAGCAAGGTTTGCTTGCGTGCCTTTTTCTTCGCAAAACTACGTAATACTGTATCAAAGTTTATATGTTTTGCAATGTCAAACTCAATGCTTAGCCTAGCAAGGACGTTAAAGCGATCCTTACTCATCGTAGACCTGAGATAATTTTTAATAAGTTAAAGCTTGCTGAGGCTCTTTTCTGCTGATGCTACTGTTGCTGGTGCTGTAAGAAATATCCTTAAACTGACACTGAGGTTTGGATATTTAATTTGTAGTATGCACTCTTTTAAAGCATTTAATATTTAATAACTCTATCAGACCCAAAAAAAATTACCATTATTTGAGTCACCAATGCCTTACGAAGATCCCTGAAAACCGAGGATGCGTTTTCTTAAGAAAAAAGATAACATCAATTGTTCTTCTCAAAATTTGTTACCATTTTTCCATTTCAACTTTAAAAGATAATTCAATAAAATTATCAATACCGGCTTGCATTGAAAGACGTCGTTCTAATTCACGTTATGCTAAATGGCATCTCTATGCTAATTAACCTTTTCATGATCTGGAATCCTGTTTTATAACTAACCGATTGGAACTAAAGACTGACCAGTGAGCTGGCTAGCTAACTAATAGAGATTTAGAAGCAATACTTAGCTTGGAACAAACGCTGTTTCAAAATAACCGGCAAGGAAAACAATATAAAAAAGCCTTATGCTTGTTCCATACAAGCCAGTCTAGGGTACGTTGTTCCGCATTAATGTTTCTAAACTTAAATATACCTTCTGAAAATTTTTGATTAATATCATATATTGATTATTTCAAATGAGAGTCAACATCACCACTGGTAATAAAATTATTTATTTCTGATTAAGAATGAAATTATATGCGCTCCTCTTTTTCTTTTCGTTTTTT